CCTAATCCCATCTGTGCAGTTTTGAGATTCAGAAATGGGGGATGGGAAGAAAATAAAAGTGGTGAATAAAGCGGGTAGCAATTGAAGAAGGGAAGGAGAGACAAGACTGGTTCTGCTGCGAAGGAATGGATACTGGCTGGAGGACTGCGGAAAGTAAGGACAACCCTGGTGAGCCCACACAGGTAGCTTATCCACAGGGTGGCTTACCATGTCAAGTAAACGCAACCCTCTATATTCAACAACACATAAGCACCAGCTACTTTGCCCTAAGTCTTCTAAAATGGGGTGATATGACACATTTTTTCCAGAAAGGACAGCACTATCATATTCTGGAAAGTAAAAGAACAAGTTCATTTTTAGAGGAAAAAGACTGCCTTGCAGAGCTCAGGGGACATCTGAACAAATGCAAAGCCTAAAATAGCTTATTTGCCTGGTATGTGTTTTATATCCATTTGAGCTAAATGGGCTGGATTCCACAGAACTGCACTGAGCCCATTCATTTCCCAGCATATCTGACACACAGCTGCTGATACAGTGGTCCCTAAAGTACTATCTGTTAACTTTCCAGCACATTTCTGCAGGAATTCTTGTTTATACCCCCTGTTAGGGTGAATAAGAATGACACAAAATGAGTATTATGAAACACTACTGAGGAACTATAAATATTCACTGTATTCACAAGCTAATATTATTGGAAGCTTCATCCTATTTTGATAGCATGTCCCAATAAAGCAGTTAAAACTTTTGCAACTTTATTGATTTTAAAAAGCTGTCAAGTCAAGCCATTTCTAGTACTAACTTACGGGTGCAATACTGTACCAAAACATTTTTAAAATTAAAATCTCTAGTTCTCCCCTCCAGAATCTGTGTTCCAATTCATTTTTTTAACCGAAGTCCCTACCACAATATACAGTGCTGACAGGCCAAGAAACAGTTCAAAGGTGAGCTCTTGGTTTTGGGCTCTTGTGCTCCATTTGCTCCCCATCTCTACTCCTTATGGTAATCTTATGGTAATCCATTATCTGCCATCAGAAGGAGAAAAACCTATTTCAATTCTGCTTATCACTTGGCTCAGCAATGTGTTTTATGCCAGAGGTTCTCAATCTGTGACACTGCTTTCCTACACCTTACAAAGCACAGGACAACTAAAAGAGAGAGAGATACACAAAGAGGACTGCATCAAGTCTGATAATTAAAATAGCCCACCATGTTATAAAGGCCTGAAAGAAAGCTAGTAAGAGGTCATAAAACAACAGTGACAAAGGAAGGCCTGTCATTGTAGGAAATTGTGTTTAAGACTTGTCAGAAGAAATGTGTTAGGTATTGCTAGCAAAATAAAACAATCAGGGTGTGTATTCATTTTAAAGAACCCAGTGGAGACAGTACAAGAGTATGTTTGAAAACTGGCTTCAGAACAGGAAAAACACTAGTCATTGCTGGAAACTTGTCAAATGTGAAAAGTCATAAGCATCCTAGAGGCCACTTTTGGGTCTTCATGCCTAAACTCAGTACACTGAGTATTATTCAGATAAGCTGCTGTCGTCCTGTTCCATGACAAATTACAAACTGAACAGCCATTCATTTTAAAAAGACACCTTTGTGACTAAACAGCAGTGGACCTCCACTCAGTCCCTTTCTCTCAAGCTGTCATTTGTAAAAAGGGACCACTGCTGGAAGCCAGGCATACTGCAGGCACTGCAAGTTCTCTGCTACTGAATATGGTCCTTCTACTAACCCTCTGGTGAATGGTCACTGCATGCAGCAACAAACTATGACCAAACATATATGTTTGGTCTGAGAAAAGTATTTTTAAAAATTATAGTCTGCCTCTCTGTGAACAGTAAGTAATAAAATAAACTCACCAAATAATGATGCGGTGAATACTGAGTATGTTGGATATTCTGAACCTCTGCAAGGGTGGGACATCCATGAAAACAATCTGGCCATATAGGCTGTTCAATCTGAAAGTTTTCTAACCTGCTTCTGAAAAGATTCCACCTTGTCCTCTAAAAGGTTCTGGGCAATATAGCAGGCTCTTTTTATAAAGCTCTAGTCACATTTTGGAGTTCTGGATTGATTAGGATCAACAACAGTACTGAATCTGCCTTGGTCGCCCTGTACGATGACCTGTGCAGGGAGAAGGACAGGGGGGGTGCATCCCTGTTGGTTCTTCTGGACCTCTCGGCGGCTTTCGATACCGTTGACCATGGTATCCTTCTGGACAGGCTAGCGGGATTGGGGGTTGGAGGCACTGCTTTGCAGTGGTTCCGCTCCTATCTCAACGGTCGATTCCAGAAGGTAGTGCTGGGGGACTATGTCTCTGCGCCATGGCAGCTATGCCATGGAGTACCACAGGGCTCCATTCTATCCCCTCTGCTATTTAACATCTATACGAAACCGCTGGGAGAGGTCATCAGGAGGTGTGGGCTGCGGAATCATCAATACGCTGATGATACCCAGCTCTACCTCTCGTTTTCCACTAATCCAGGTGAGGCAGTAGCTGTGCTGAACCGGTGCTTGGCCAAGGTAATGGGCTGGATGAGAGCCAATAAACTGAAGCTCAATCCAGACAAGACGGAGGTCCTGTTGGTTGGCGGATCGGGCTTCGGAGAGGGTGGATTTGACCTGGTCCTGAATGGTGCAACACTCCCTCTTAGGGACAAGGTCCGCAGCTTAGGAGTACTCCTCGACCCGGAGCTTTCTTTGGAAGCTCAGGTGACAGCAGTGGCGAGGAGCGCCTTCCTTCAGCTTCGGCTGATTAATCAGCTGCGCCCCTACCTGGAGTACGACTGCCTGGCGACGGTGACACACGCGCTGGTGACTTCCCGCCTAGACTTCTGTAACGCGCTTTACGTGGGGCTTCCCCTGAAGACGGTCCGAACACTTCAATTGGTGCAAAATAGAGCTGCCAGGTTGCTGACGGGGACGGGGCGTTATGCTCACATGACTCCAGTCCTCCGTCAGCTTCACTGGCTTCCCATTGAAGCCCGGGCCCAATTCAAGGTGTTGGTTATGACCTATAAAGCCCTAAACGGCTTGGGTCCTGGCTACCTGAACGAGCGCTTACGTCCGTATATGCCCGACCGCCCCTTGAGATCTGCGGGAGAGTCCCTTCTCCGGGAACCCTCCATGAAAGAAATTAGGAGAGTAAGTACTCGGAGGAGGGCTTTCTCTGCGGTGGTGCCCAACCTATGGAATTCACTCCCCAAAGAGGTCCGCCTGGCACCGTCGTTACTGGTTTTTCGGCGCCAGGTAAAGACCTTTTTATTTAAACATCATTTTAATTGTTAAAATATATGATCTGGCCAGGGCAACTTCTTCTTCCTTCTCTTTTCTCCTCCTATATGCTTTATTTACTTATTTTATACTGTTAATTTTAATTTTATATTATTGTATCTCAGTGTATTTTTTGTATTTTTGTATTTAGTGGTAATTTATTATGTTCTATTGTATTTCAATGTATCTTATTGTGTTGTAAGCCGCCCCGAGGCTTCGGCAAGGGGCGGCATAGAAATGTTATAATAATAATAATAACAACAACAATGCAGCATCCTCTCCCACTGAATAGATCCAGATTGGCCCCCTGGTTTCCTAGAGAGGTGATGGAAATGGTTGGGATAAAAGCTGAAGCTCAATGGAGGATGGAACAAATCCTAGCAGATTCAGCAGAGAGTGTTATTTGATAGTTTATCCCATGGTGGTGGCGTCAGTTTTTCCTAGTACTGTGTCCATCCTGTGGAACTATTCAGGAGAGAGGGAATGTAAGCTGGTGAACATCAACTGATAAAACTGTTGTATCCATTTTGACCTGGATGCCTCTTACTGAAAAATCTGCACTGGAAGCCTTCTTAGCATCTATTTGAATTGATTTCAACTTAGAGTACTTGAAGAGATTTGTGACTGGTAGAGGCTAATTAGAAAGTGTTGTCAGACTGTGAATGAACATAGCCTAGTCAGAACAGCATGTTTTAGCCACTTGAAAAAGAAGGTGGTTGTTAGATTCCTACTTAAAAAGCATTGCCGGGATCTGCTGACTTAAGAAATTATGAACCAGTCTTCCGTGCACCTTTTTCTGGTGGGAAACCCTCTCTCTGAAGTTGCTCTTCAAAGAAGCTGATTGTCTAAATCCATTTCAACCTGTTTTCAGGACAGTAGTGGGACCAAGATTAGCTCGATCCATCTGGTTGACAACATACACTTGCAGAGAGATAGGGCATTTTCATTTTCCTGGACCTCTCAGCAGCTTTTGACACTCTTACCCATGGTAATTTGGTTCTGGACAATTCAAAATTGGAAGCATCACCCATGCTGGATGGTTGGTTCCAGAATGAAGTGCTTGGAAAATGATGGTGCTTCACATGGAAAGACGTTCAACAAGGTTCTGTATTGTCTCTGATGCTGTTAAAAAACTATATGAAACATGGCTTCACATGATTCACCTGGATGAATGTTACCCAGTAAGTCATTCTTTAATCTTGGAGGGCTACAGCTGTCAAGGCCCTGTCCCATGCCTCTGATGTTCTAACATACAAACAAGGAATGTGAAGCAGGATAGATTGTCTTAAGACAGTGGTGATGTGAGAAAACCGGCATTGGGAAGACAGTGCTCTTGAAAGACAATTAAGCAAAGGAGCAAATGAACAATAACAACGTTTACCAAATTCAACCCACCAGCAAAAGAAATAGGACTTAGTGCTTAGGCCATCCTGTGTACCTTAGTGATGCCAAGAACTCAGCTTCAGTGATAAGGCAGGATCATTAAGGGCAGTATTCAGCTGTGTCAATTCATCAGTGCAAATGACCTCATCTTAACAGACACTAGGTTCTGAACTTTGTGCAAAAGGATCTAACTAAAGTTTATTCTTTGTGCATACATGCTTGTGTGAGTAATGAGCCAGCACTATTGGACTTTGCAAAACAACACTGCTGGATGCCACCTGGAGATCTGTATCAAAGAGGAATGTACAGCTTACAAGTGGCTTGCCACCAGTCTAACTAACCTGGTGTCGATGGTCTTTCCAGCATGTTCAAATGATGGGAGATAAAAGCTTGACTATCATGAACAGTATCCATATCAATCTCTTCTTCTTCTTGAGAGTTTGAAAACTGTAACATTGGGAGGAAAAACCAAGGAATTTCAGGGAATACTGATTAATCCACTTTAGCATGCCTTATTACATGTTACTATAGAAATGTGTTCAGCCTTTTACATTATTGCATTAACAAAATAAACATGCATATAACAAAAACTCTCCAACATTGTATTAACTACCTGCTCCTTTCAAAATTAGACAGCTTTAGGCAAGATAGAAACAGTTAAGGTATGATTGTTACACAACTTAAATTAATGCTTCAAACAATGGGGTGCTCAGCTACAGCTGAGTGTCAGCTGTTCTCCATCATTATAAGGCAGATTATAAACCAGATTAGCATCTGAATATCATAAGATCAAATGTTACAGGATTACTTTGCTGCTCTGCCCCTTCCTCTGAGTTATGTGCCAAAAGGACCATGGTGTCAGACCAAACAGATACAAGGCTGAATTGATGGTATCACCAGATGCTTAAGAATGGGGCTGATTGGCCACTCCTGCAAAAACAGTATCTCAGGTAAATTGTGAAATCATTTACTCACTCGTATTTTGAGTTTGACTTTACTGTCTTCAGTCTTCTCAAGTATCTGGCCTGGTTCCAGCGGGGATCCAAGCGGAGTGTCAGCCTTCCGCTTCAGCCCCTGCTGATGAGGCAGGGGGATGGCTGCTGTTTCCTTAGTAAGATGATAATCCTCCTGTGGAAGAAATTAAAACCCTGAAATTCAAAATCTTTCCATGTCAGCCTAGATGTAAAGCCATACTCCTTTTGAATGTTTCTCATCATCCCACTATGAGGCACAGTTCACCACACCAGCATATAGTACTGACAACTGCATTACTGGCTACCCAATCAATCTTACATCTTCCAAGGAACATGGAGAAAAGTTAACTTATTGGGGAATATGAATGAAGAAAAGCTAATGGCTTCCTATATGGGCCACACCGGTGGTGGTGATGATGACAATGAGAGAAGATGCACACATTAAGACAAGTATTTCCAAATAGTGGAAGCAGAAAAGATTTGCAAATAGCATTACTAGGCAAGGGTAACAGAACAAGACTAGGACAAAGGGCAAAGCTAGTCCAATTGTCATAAACTGAACTACTGTGAAGTCTGGGGAGGACTTTGCAAAATCAAGGAATGCACTTACAATGCTCTGGAAGCCAACTATTTGACCCAGATTGTTTGGATTGTTAGGTGGTTCCGGACCACTTGCCCCCACTTCAGGGATGATGGTAGGATTCAGCACCGCTTTCTTTTCTTTTAGGTTAAGGACCAACCCAAGCTCTGGCAGTGGCAGACAAGAAGGCCTGCTGAGACCAAACAGCGTGAAGTACAGGTCAACGGCACCGCAGCGCAGCCTCCAGTCGTGGGATGTACCTATGAAGCAAGGGGAGGACAGAAGCTCTCAATCAGCTGCACACAATGTCAAGCAGTGTAAAGCTTCTAAAGCCAGTTCTGCTGCAAGTGCTGGTCAAGACAGCAGGAAACGAGGCAACTCTCTCTATACAAACCACTCTGCTTTGCATCAGCTGGAACTAAGTCCTAAGAGAGATCAATTTGAAATAACACACTACTCAGTAACGATGGTCCACCTTCGACTAATGCTAAAATGCATCATAAACTACTCGTGGCAAATCTTTCAAATTTCAACAAATGCAAGCTAATAGCTTGCAATCATCGTGTCTCCCACCAAACCAACTTGGGACTTAAAATCTAGGTCAACTCTCAAATAAAGGGAATTGTAGGGAACAGGATGACATAAACTTATACACAGTGCTACAACAAAATACAGTGCTTCTTCCTATGCAGTTAGTATCAGGGGAGAGAGGGTTGTCCTGCCGGAAAAGGGTAAGCTCAGAAATATAGCAACAACCTCTGCTTTGCCAAACTAGCTTGAGTCACTTATGTTCCATAACACAAATAACTATTTGTAACTCATGATGTTGTTAATTCAAGTTGGATCATGCAACCGTTTCACCACCTTGCCTTTCTACCACATTCTACAGAAAACTATAAATTCTATTACTCACATATTAGCTTCCTGTTCACCCACCACCCGTAATATATGTTCCACAAAAGAGAAGAACATTTGCCTCAAATAAATCCCACATTTTCATTGTATAAACCTGGCCTCTTTTAAAAGCACTCATAACTTTTACTCATCTAGGGCCTTTTTACTGACTTTTCCAAGACTGGCAGCTTCTGAAACTCCCAAACATTTGTTAAATTCACAAAAATGTTAAAACACTGCTTCCAACATGAGGCCAGAAGGAAACAAATGCTACAAGTCAGCAAAAACATCCTGTGCAACCAGGTAACCAAGCTCCCTGGATTAAAAGCCTTTGCCTTATTTTCATCCAATCCAAAATACTCCCCTTCCTGTTTAAGACCTCCAGTCCTACAATAAGCAGAATGCAGCAGTCTTTTAGAAGGAAAAAATGAGCAAGAGTAGGGAATCTAGCAAGCCTAGCTTTTACTACCTTTTAAATTCTAAATTAAGTTTGAGAAATGCTTTAATTCCCAGCATTTAGGCTGTTTTAATGGCAAAAAGAATATTTCATAGGTTGCTTTTGATCAGAATTCTGAACTATTCATTGTCAGAGGATCTTTAGCTTAGTCCACCCAACTACTAGACGTCCGTCACGTATCAGGTTTGATCCTCCCATTGAGGTCCAGAAGCAGGAGTTTCCTTGAGAAGCAGCTTCCCCGAACTACAAGCAACCCCAAGGAGTGCTAGGACACAACCAATCCTCTCACATTCCCGTGGACTCGTGAGCTGAGTTCCTGACTTCAGGGCAGCAGAAGACAAGCAGATGGCACACTAGCATCAGGGCAACTAGCACAATGCCTGTAAAGCCACACAGTGGGTCTACTTGGGGAAGCTCACGCAAGGACTTGCTCAGATCAAGGCTTACCTGAGGACCAAGAATGGGTGGGGCCTCCAGTGCATATATTATCTCCCTCTGAACTGAACCAATAGCAAAGTTCCAAGCTCTAGTTTATTGCCTCTGCTGAGCTGGGGAAATGGACAAAAGAACACCACCTGCCTGCACCTCCAGCCCCAGCCTCACATGTAGCCATTCTGTGAGAGGCAGGAGCAGTGAGAATGGAAGCCAAGTCCTCAGCTGATGGGTAGCAAAGAATACAGTCACTGAGTGCATGGCTGGCTTGGGAGGGGTCTGGAATCTCACTGGTACAAAGAAGCCACAAAAAACTGGGTACCACCTCTCCTCACCTGCTGGCCTCCAGATCGTTTGGACTTTCAACTTCTATCAGTCCCAATCAGCACAACAATGGTCTGGTAAACACAAAGTTATCATCCAAGATATATGGAAGGCACCAGATTAGAGAGAGTTGCCTTAGAGATGGCCTCATGTCTCCTCTCTGCCACTTCTACCTGGCCAGAGGAAGTACTGGCTGCCTGTGATTTTTCTTTGTATGAGTGAGTGTCCGTTTAAAAAGGCACTACCATTGCAGCATGACTTGTTTCCTGCTGGCCACAGCAGAGGTTACCAGGCCAACTGAGCTTCAGCTACCCTCACTGTGCAGGTGAAACAAAGGCAGCAGTATCTGGCATTTCTGCTTGGTGGTGGCCCCCTAATCAGTTTTTGGCTTTGACCACTGTCTAACCATGCCAATTCGCAATGCCACTGCCTAGTTTTAGCCACAGCTAGACGATCACACCTTCTGCCAGGAAAAAAAAACAGCAACTGTGCCCAGTAAACAGATCTGTTTACATTGTGGGTACCAAAAATGGGCATTATTTTGACACATTGGAAAGCTTGCTATATCAGTAGTTTACTCGGTGGACAATTTCTAATGGGAAAAGAGATGCAAGGAAGAAACAAAATGAGCACATGTGAGCAAGGAGGAAAATTACAAGATAGACTCTGAGGATTCAAGTGTCACAAGAACCCATGGCATATGACACTGCATGGTTGTCTACAAAGATGCAAACCCCTCTGCACTGATAAGTCTTTTTGGAATGGCTGAGAAAGCAGAAAATAAAGCTCAACTGTTCTTGTCATCCAAACATATACAAGTCTCCCAAGAGATAAGAAAATAGAGACTGCTCGCTCTCTCTTTTCTTTTGCTAATTAATCATAATTTACACTGGCTTCTACATAAGTTAAAAAACACAGTATTGCTGAAACATTAGTTACAGGAATAACCAACAGATTTCCTAATTTCCACCAACAAAAGCAATCTAATTTTAACCTTAAAACTGATTAACAGACTCCTGGATCTCTATTGAAGCAGATACTAAATGTTTTCAAAATTTAAATACCATTGAATAGTTATGTAAGTCTGTTTTACTGTCTCACCCCCGCCCCCACCTAAACCCTTAGCTTTAGCTTCTTGGATTCTGGCAGTTAAATCATGAAGATTTGTTTTCCTACTTGGCTTTAACCAGTTTCAAATAATTAACACTGAATGGGTGGGGGATTTATCCTTAGCAATACTCTTACTGGCACTCTAGGATTTTGCAATTACTTTTCAAGCAAAAGATCCACATGATTCATAGAAATTTATGCTGTTCAGCAAAAATCAAGAACATCTTATTATCACTCTTTTTGTTACAACAATGTCAATGAGCTGAAGACTAACTTTTGAAAAACCAATTCTCTTGAGGGGGAAACTAGGAACACAAACTCTCTTGTGGCAAGATCCAAACTGTTTACTTCCTGAGTTTGACATCTGGTAAGACTTTCCCAAAGAATTAACTGAGGCAGAGTCCATTCCCCCCTCCCCCACATTGCTTCAGCTGCCTGATGGGGCAGCTGTAAATTTCCAAATACTAAAAATAACTTTACATAGAGAGCACACAGTGTTTAGCATCCCCCTAGAAGATTGCACAAAAATGTTTGCATGCAAGCACCACTTTACATGCATACATGAAGACATGTATGCATGAAGACCATTTTGCATGTACTGGCTTTAATTTGTCTATTACATGAACATAGATCAGCAGCAGTTGAGAGTCTATTTCTGTGGACCTTTGCACAACAGAAGGAGTGTGCAGCAGAAGTCACATGAGCTCTCTAGGAAGAGAACCACAAGCATCCTATTCAAAGATTTTTCCTGCAAAATTCAGGAAAAAGTTGCTGGTGAGCACTCACAAGAAACAGCTAATGCCAGGATTTACTTGTGGGCTATGATGGGATGTTGCATTTCTCTGGAACTGGAAGCTCCATATAGAAATCAAGATCATCAGCACTGAACGACCTACCTTTCATGAATTTTACCAATTCCCTTTCAAAGCCACCTCAGCTAGTGGCCATCACTTCTTGTGTAGGCAAAACCCATAATTAATTATGCATTAATCAAAACAATAAGTTATCTTGTCTTCCTAAGTCTACTGCCAATCAATTTAAGGGAAACACAAAACAATGGTCATACAACAGGGGGTGAAATGCAAATACAGATATAATCTGAAACCTTTTCCCTTGTTTGTGAAATTATTTCAGATTGTGGATTAAACTTCTGCATCTTGCATTACATCAGCACGCTGAACAAGAAGAACCAGGTGAGCATGTGCATGGTTACTGATGGGTATTGGTCAAAGGACCTTGGGATAGTGGGAGGCAACACTTCCTGCTTCTCAGGAATAGCATCAGGTCAAGAGGGAGGCTGACCAGTTCCATCAATCAGCCAGGCAAGCAGCATTTGAAGGAAGCCTGCTTCTACCTCTGTACCAGAAAGAACACTCAGCAACAAGTGACAGTTGCCCTGAGACTGCAGGAGGAAGGGGAAAGACCTGGCTGGTACCATCACTGGTCAAAGGAAAGAGAGTTATGCCTTTTCATTCAAGAAGAGAAGATCAGTCAAGACCAAAGTAGATTTAAATGCCACCTTCATGGCCCCTTCCAACTCTATTATTCTATGATTCTTATAATCCACTGCCTTACTCTGGCTTTGAAAAACTGATCAACTTCTTCCTTTTCCTTCCCTCCTCCATCTTTGTCTTCTTACTGATGTGAGCTACTTTGGGAAACAATTATTTGTCTGAAAAATACACTAACAATGCAGTAAATAATAAATAAATTACAACAAAACTGCCTTTTCTCAAGTAAAAAGTGTATACTGTCAGTGCCTGGATGCAAAATTGTTTAGGAACTATCCACTGTCTTGAGTTCCATGGAAGAGAGGCAGGATATAAATGCTATTGTAAACAAAAAAGACCATTACTGTAGTCCATAAGTAAATGGACTAAGTAAATATGCAAAGCACCAGGCTTTGGTGTGTTAAGAAAATGTCTTAAAATAGTAAGCAATTAAAAAATAACCTGAATTCATAAGTTTCCAAAGCTGATCCACTAGAGCTTCATTACACAAAGGCGATTCCATATTCTTGGTAAATGGAGGATTCTTTGTCAGCATGTTCAGTATCTTATGTCTAAAAAAGAACAGTCAACTTTTAAGCCACATAAAATTAAAACTTTCAGTTTCTAGATTTTGCATTTTATCCAACTTTATTTGGATCCATGGTTTCACATTAGGACTGCAAAGATTATATAAAATCAAACATGTGTCTTGATGCTCACATCATCTTAAGAAATTAAGTTCAATGAATTTATACAGGATTCTAAAAATGCTTCAAATAGCCATTTTAGAGAAACGTCCTGGGGCAATGATGGTCAGTGGAAATAACAAGAAAAAAGAAACCAAGAGGGAAAAACCTGAAAAGAGGCTGCAGTGTTCAAAGGTTGTCATTATCCAGGTCACCAAGGGTACAAACTTGTACTGGTAAACTCTCTGACTTAAAAACTAACAGGCAACACTTTCAGCTACAAATGTATCATTTATAATCTTTGTCCCCCAGCTATGTACTAGAAGCCAATTTATATTTTCTTTAGTATCCAAATATATAACGATGCCCAACTGTGCTCCAATACAGTAAGACTAGTGTGGATTTATTTTTTGAAAGAGAATATGTCAAGATCCTCCATCTCTAGCCGAGGTTTGAAAAGCAGAAGTGAAGCCTCTGTAAAGAGAGCAGAGTGTTGTTACAGGAAAGGCACAAGCACCTTCCCACACGCTCAGAAGTCTTAGGGTTCTTGTTTCTCTGGGAGGTGGAAGAATGCTGCCCTCTTGCTTAATAACTACAGAATACCCTCAGCTCCAGACTGGAAACCAATACAGTTTGCTGGCTGACACAGCCATGGAATGCGATTGACATTTTGCTAGAAGGAAAAAAAATTCTTTTTGATTCTGGGATGATTGTCACACCCTAAGAGAACAAGACATCTCATGTATTTCCTTTTCTGAAGTGGAACCCCACGCATGCTTTTTAAAGGAAATGCAAGACAGCAAGCAACAGGACTTAAAAAGTGATTTGAGATTTACAGCTTAGAGATACAGGGACATAAAATATAAATAAATGAGGTAGACTAACCTGATATATGGCACAGGGTCATTTTGAACCATATTGAGCAGCCACTGCAGCTCCTCGTAACTTCGATCAACTATAAAGACAAAATGTATGACCTGTTAAATAAGATAGCAAATCACACAAACAAGAGATCAAAAAAATTTCCACAGAAAGTATAGTGGGAAGCATATGAAAAAGTCATTGATAAATAGCACAGAGGTATTATGTGTCTCACTTATAAACCGTGCTGGGCAATTGTTCTTCCCTGGTCACTCACATATTCAGATTCTTTCTCCACTTTTCCTTCTTCATAATACAGTTACTTATGCTTCTTGCCTTGCATTATGAAAGCTATGCTTCTATTCTAGAATGGAAAGGCCCCCAGTAACACACTCTTATCGGCACTCTGGCACACAGGCCTAGAGATCACATGGAAGCCTCCTGATTGTCGCCACTCAAGTACGTACATATTCCATATTCTTCCAACACTGCTTGGAAGCATAAAAGCATGTAGAATGTATTGAACATCAACTGCCTGCACACAGACACCTCCCACCACAAGTTGGTATCCTACTTCCAAAGAACACACATGTAACCAACTGAGAAAGATTCCTCGAACAGTTCAGTGATCAGAAAAGTGTACCTGATCTATCTTCCTTTATCAGGTAACTGCAGCAAACTGGATGGCCTCTTTTCTTAGCTCAAAGCACACCAAGTCATTCCCTGAAAGCTTATCTGAGGTTCCTAACAGCACAAGAAAAGCCTTGCTGAATCAAACCAATGGTCCATCCACTTAAGTATTATGTTCACACCATAGTAGTACATGTGCAGTGACCAGAAGTGTTTGCAATATTCTAACTGTGACTGCACCAAAGATTTATGGAAGGGAAATATGACCTTGGCACTTTTATCTTTCAAATCCTTTCCTAACTATGCCTAACGCAGAACCCTTCTTCACATAAGCTTATTTTAATTTAACCATCAACCACAATCTCAAGATTCCTTTCCCACTGACATGCAGATGCCATTAGCCTATACTTGAAGCTGAGATTTTTTTGTTTCAACACGCATTACATTACGCTTGCTCACACTGAAGTGCATTTGTCATTTTGATGTCCATTCTCGCAGCTTGAAGAAATCCCTTTTGGTTTTAAGCGCCTTACATAGTTTGGTGTCATCAGCAAATTTGGCCTGTGAACTTCACTGTTCACTCCTAATTCCAGATCTTCTATGAAGTGTTAAAAAGTGTTGGTGCTAATAAAAAGCCCTGTGGGACCCAGCTATAGGAATTTTTCCATTGAGAGAAACGACCAATTATTTCTACTCTCGAGTTTCCGTTCTTTAACCAGTCGCTGATTTATAAGCAGACTTCCCCTCCTATTCCATCACTGTTTTCAGGAATCTTTGGTGAGGGACTTTGTCAAAAGCCTTTTGGAAGTCCAAGTGAACAACATGTACTGGATCACCCATGTTGACAGGTTTTTGACACTCTCACAGAACTCTAAAAGGTTAGTGAGACAGGACCTAACGTGCAGAAGCCATGCTGATTCTTTTTCAGCAGGGCCTGTCCTTCTGTATGCTTAATGATTCTATCTTTACTAACCTTTTCAACTAATTTACTCAGAACAGATGTTAAGCTAAGCATCCTGTAATTTCTCAGATCCTTTAAAAAAATAGTGCCAATCCTCTAGTATAGAGACTGATGGAAGGGAGTGGTTTCAAAGGTCCCTGAAAGAGAAGCTCCTTCACACCAGTCAACTTCCTCTAGAACAACAGCTTCAGGGAAGTGTATTAGAGAATATGCTTGATTCTCATGTTGTCGCACTGAGACACATCCTGAGCCAGGAATGGAGTGTGTGCCTCAGCACATGTACTAACATTCTCCATAACATGCAGGTACTGTTTTGGTAAACAAGTCAATGAAGACTAAGTTCCCTCAAGCTTGAGAGAGAATATCTGCGTAAGCAGGTAGGAAACTATTTTCATGGACACATGATGATATAGTTCCAAAAGACTGAGTAAGCCTGCATATTTGTCCTGTGGTTACTCATGCTAGTACATACAAGTAGTACTCTACCATGGGCAGATACATTCCTGGCTGCTGCTACAGGCCTTCAATCCCAATAATGAAACTGCCTGTCTCTTGCTCCTTGGCTAAATTATTAAGTGAAATGTCTCAGCACAACAGCAGCTTGATGATGCAGAAATTAAGATAATGATACCTTTGACATTGATTTTTTGTTCATATATACACCAACTCTCTCCATAAAGTTATGCCCATGTTTTATTATGTAATTAAACTGAAACCTTAAAAAACCTTTTAAAAAGAGGAGCTTAATAAAGGTGAACATTATGAACCAAATCTGCTTCCATTCACACTGTATTGTTCTAAGTTCTGTTACTTGGTCATTCTAAGGAGTGAAATAGTATTGAAAGAGAGGGAGAAAAAACAGGAAATTGGTTTCCAAAGGTAAAGCCTATAAAGTTAAAGCTGTATTGATCAAAATAAAATGGTAAAAGTATATATTTTTAACCTTTTGTGTAGTCAACAACAGCCTCCAAAGCTGCTATTCGGATATCCACAAAGTGCCCATATTCTGCATAGGACTTAAAGACGGCAGGATCACTGGGGACATGTCCATTCTTCTGTAGCACACGAATGGCATTTAAGCAGCTAGATATATGGGAAAGGGAAAAGGAGGGAGGGGAAGTTAATTCAGAATTTCTAGGCACAATATCTTCAAAGCAAATTACTGACCTATTTTATAAGTTCTTAATTATGCCAAATTCATGTGATGTTTAAGGTGACTCAGTTAGAATTTTTCCAAAGGTAATCAAAAGGATTGCTTTTGTCTTCCAAAGAGTTCTAAAGATACCTAGGACCATTTAATTTCATCAATATATTATCTAATGCAACATAAACATAAACTGAGAGAGAAGATACAATCCACATTAAGCTAAATTTGCAAGTAAATATGGGAACAATCCAGATTAAGTATCAAGAGTATCCAATCCCTTGCAGCTTCCTCCCCTTTCCTCTACGATGTGCATTGATCCATGCATGGAATTGTTCTGCTGCTGACCCCATACTCCACTGAGATGTGCTTGTGATGGGACCACACATGCACATATGGACCACTCACATCTCATATGCAGAATACACTTATCAAGATTAAGCTTTCTGTTGTGCAAAAACTAAAGAAAATAAAGCTGTGGCTCCAAGTAATACAAACACTCTAGTTTCATAAATGTCTAATAATGAATATTTTTTCAAGACAGTATTTCTAAAAGGATTTTTCAAGGTGTTTACTCACTCCCCATCTCCGAGCTTTTGCATATTTATTGACAATACAGCAAGGTTAGCAAAAGCTACATTGTGTACAATGAGAATGACAGCATTCGTAAAAGCAATATAAAATTGCAAGAAAAAAAAAAAAAGATCAGAGCCAACATCTTTCAGACTGTTTGCAGAGATTTGCAGGGGTAGAATTCAGACTGCCCTTGCACACGTGGCCAGCCCCACTAGTTCTATCCTTCAAGGGGCTTCCATTGCTTGCAGAAGAGCTATTTAGTGCTTCCAGGTGTCTGAAAATGAACAGAAATGCTTATTTTGGGGAGGGGACAGGCTGACAGAGCTCACTTAAGGCTGGAGTCAGAGGTGGGAATTAACAGGCCAGAATTGGCTGCTGGCTCTACTAGCAGATGCCCAATATATTTTTGTAACGTACCTCACCGTAATGGTGTGCCTGTAACTGGGGAGCAACTTTTCCATGTTCAAGAACCTGGTAATTTCCTCAAGAATAAGGCGGACATCAGGATTTAAATTATCCAATGTCCTGGCTTCATTGTTCACACTGACGGCAGGAGTCACGGAGTTTGCTAGTGCATCGATTAGTTCAGCACGGTAGTAGTTGTCTGAAAACTGAAACAAATGATTGAAATGTGAGAAAACATATGCTGCAAAAAGGGACACTACAAAAAGGAGGAGGTGGCGGCAGTGGAGCCCCAGTCAAAGGCACATGGATTGAGCTTTCTTCTAGCTTTCTAGTCAAGATTCCAACCTTGCTCTCAGGTCAAGTATCAGACAATCTTATTATCCTCAAAGGACTGCTGCCTTGAGTAATCTAAGTGCAGGACTTAATTTTTTAAAGAAAATTCTATTTGATCTATATTCCATCTTTCAGCTACCAAACACCTTTCTTGCAGTTTAAACATGCATCAGACACATAAACAATAATATAATGTTATGGTTTAAAAATCACAGCAACACTTAAATCATTCATAGCAGCTGGGTATACAGTTAATACAGCAGCCAGGTATGACTGGTTTGGATTGTTAATACAATCCAAAAGCTTAACAAAACAGGAATGCCCCTTGGTTGGGAGTCAAACAAGTTTCCCAAGGAATGCAATCCTGCAACACTCATGCCAATACAGAAGTGCCTTGTTCTATGCCCCAACTAACTACATCTCTGAAAGCAAAGGGACACAGAGCCAGTCCCTCAATAATTACTGTTAAGGGCTGGCATATTCAACTGACCCTGAAATAACCTGGCCTCTGACTGTTCTGGGCTTTACAGACAAGCACCAGAAATTTAAACTGCACCCAAACATGAACTGAAACTAAGCATAGTTCATGTTAAACCCAGAAGAATGCATCCCATAAGGCAGATAGGAACCAACAAAACCTACACTGTTTTGTTTCAGCTAACCTGTCTAACAACTTTTTAAAGGCTGCTTGAACACAAACCAGGTTCCGAAAACAACCATGGCATGTTACTGTAGCTGGGCCGATAGATCACACAAAGTACCACTTTTTTCAAACAAGCCACCCTGTGATGCCTGTGGGCTGTTCTACAATTGTGGGTTGTTGCAACCCACAGTGGTTGGTCTAAACCTGGACATGACTCACCATGGGTGACGCCCATAGCCAGCAAGCCTATTTGTAAGAGTAGAAAAAACCCCTTACTGTTCTTTCCAAATGGCTTTCAGGTGACTGCTGTTGCTGCACTGCTCCCCACGTATGCTGGCAAAGGCTGACCCCGCCCCAGGGCAATCTCTCACTGAGTTTGGCTGGCAACTATGGCTTCTTCCTCTAACGCCCCCCCCCCCCTTATTTTTTATTTTGCAGGAAGACTGTAAAAAGCCAGGTGGTGAGTATACACTTGCAATCTCTTTACCAGGCAGCAAAAACATGCATCCTTGGGAGAACACAATGTGATGCATACCAAGTTTCCCTTGTATGCATCTCTTGTATGTATCTCAAGGGATACATACATTCCCTTGTATGTATCTCCGGGTCCCTTTAAAAAGAGCTTTTAAGGTAAGAGTTGGGTGGATTTTGGAATGGGGTATACCTCTGACTATGTCCCAGTTCCTTCCCATTGTTGTGACAAAGGGAAACATTACTCCCCAATAGAGAACAGAGGTGGAAACAGAAAAATAGAAGGAACTTGCCGGGAAAGGGATGCTGTTTGGAAAAAGCAGCCTCTTCACAGCTCAAGATACCTCGTGCCTTTGCTTTTACACAGCAATTCACTTAACAGGTGAGCAGAAGCACATGGGGCAGGGATTTCCAGATCCCGCAAGGACCATAGGGAGAGGGGGCACACTGCAATTGCCCCAGCCAAGACTGGAAGCTGCCCTGTTTGCACTTCAGTAAATGAGCACTGCTTGTGCAATGGGGTCCAGTTAAAACCAACCAACCAACCAACAGACCCTAATAGTTAAAAAATGCCGGGCAGGCATGGGAAGTCCCTGCAAGGTATACAGGGCCCTATGAAGGGACAGCTTGCTCTGCCTATTAAGAGGACTGCAGGCGCCTTCCTCCAGCTTGCTTCTGGAATCTCTAAACAAGAAAAAAATAAAGGGCCGCAGTTTGCAATCATGACTGTCAGGGAAACGCAACTCATTCCTGCCTGTGGTGTCTGAAGGAATGAAGGACGAGGAGGAGGGAGTGAAGTATCCATGGTTAGCCCAATCATAGGTGGGGCTCACCATGGGTACTTTGCAAAACAGCCACCACACCAAGCCCATTGCCAGGCTGCGCTGGTCCATCGTGCGAACAACCCCACCGGCTGTGTTACTATCATCCAATATGGATGTGATTGAAGTATGTGTGGCTGCATCCACTTTGCCATTTTTCAAGGAACAGCTGGTACACCACCCAAAACTGTGCAAAGGTAATGGCAAGAACCTGAGCATCCAAAGCAAAAGTGAGTAAAAGATCAAACTTAGCCCAAGATCATTCAAAGGGAGCACAGCCACATTCAGAATAGGAAGAACTCCTCATTCTGGAATAGCTTTCCCACAGACAAGCAGCACTTCTGCCTTGTCTAGATTAAACCTCTAGTTGTTTGTCAGCATCTAATCAATACTGTTCGGTTGCTCAAGCAACAGTTCAGAACCTCCGTGACCTTCCTGGAATAGAATGAAAAGGAAAGAAAAGCATCCTCCAAATATATGAAACAAACAGGCAGGGCTAGCCTGGAGTCAACTGAGGAGGAGGAAAGAAGTCACAGTTTGCCATTTAGAAGCAAGGAGAGAAGCATACAATAGGACAAGATTCTGTTGCAAATCCCAGACTGGCACTGCAAACAAATGCATGCCGATCTGCCTCATACTTGTCAGCATACTTCAAAACAGTGGGGTTGTAAAGAGCAAACTATTATTTTAAGCAATTTTTACCTTGTTTTTTCTATTGTCATTGTACTTGATTAGGTCTAATATAAATGTTAAAACTTCTTTGGGACACAGATTATGAACATCTCTCAGTAAGGCCATTGCAACAGGCATTGTCTGTGAAGAAGGATCAACAATAATGAAAAATATTAACATTTATTCAAATATTAAACTGGTGCCATGAGGGGCATCCCTTTTGTCTTCTATGTAACACCCCACAGCATATAACTTAATACCACTAGGACTTGCTCCAGCAGTATGAGTACAAAGAAACAGAACGAGTCGGGGGGCCTCTCGGGCCATCTAGTCTGAGGCCTGGCCCCAGTCATGACATGCCTACCAAAGGATTAGGGTTACACAAGAACATCATATGCAGCTGTTGAAATTGCAAACATCCTGGTTTAAAAACCCTGATTAGCCATGTCAAAAACCCTATCGTAATTGAAGCCCGAAGTTTTGACAGCTATCAAAATGCAGTGTTCTTGTAAACAGGGTGGCTCTCAGTTTTCTACTTTGGAACAATGAGAACAGTCAGGTCCCAACCAACTAATCAAATTAGAGGATCTTGCTATACATGCCATCCTCTTTCACCAGCAATGATCCCTATGGTTTCACTCCTTCACCTGAGAGTTGTTGCTATTTGAGAGCTGTCAAATGAGAAGCAAAACAACAACTGGCCTATTTGTCAAGGTCCTCATATGGTACTTCTTGTACTTTGACAGGAAACACCAACATGGTATTGATGAGGTGAAGCTGAACATGTTGGATAGTCAGAGCTGCAGATCTCTAAGATGTGAGAGAAGTTTAAAACACACAAACAAAAGTGCATATCATGGGCACAAAAAAGAAAAATTGGTGGGAAACCAGTAAAGGCCACTCCAATGTAACTAGTCCTGTTTCTCATCTTCCAGACCACCTTTGAATCTGGTTGTGTTACGGAAATTCTCCATATTTAGAAAAGTACAGTAAGATAGCAAATGATCTGTTACCTTTTGCAGAAAGTAGCTCTGAAAGTTCATGAAGTTATTGGTTTTCACTATGTTCGGGCAACTTTTACAACAGAACATTCGGGTGAAGAGAGACTTCATGGCTGGTGGTCCTGTCCATGTACTCACCATGAAATTTGCAATCTGTACAGTTAGGGAGAAAAAGAAAAACCAACTTACTAAAAATATTAGGAAATTTGACCCACTGCCCCAATGCAAATTCTTATCTTCATGGCATTATAAATTGGTGGAGAAATATGCAATAAGTGAATAAATTATGTTACTATTTAGCAAGCAGATACTTTAAGTCAGTGTTTTTCAAACCTTCGTTTATATTTGCCATGGAACCACTGTGCAGAGCAGACTCCTATATGGCTGGCTATGGGAGCGGAGACTGGGGGTAGCAGACGACAGCTGGCATTACTGTTCTTGTCACTGAGAAACCCCTTAATAAATCTTCAAGGGGGTCTACACAGGATTCGAAAACCAAAGCCATAAATGTGTGCATTGCCTAAACCCAGACACTCACCACCAACACTTCTATAAATTGAAAGTGTGCTGTGGGGAACCAGTTTTTACTTACAGGTCATCTGCAACTAATTATCTTTCCACAACCACTATCAGGTTTTAATTGTTTCCTTCCATTTACATTTCACAGATTCCCCCCAAAACCCCCCATTTCTTAAAACCACATAGTCAATCTCTACAGAAGCTAGTCATGGAAGAGGCAATTTCCTCAATTCACCCTGCCAATAACCTCAATGCAGATTGCAAAAAGGTCTCAGCCACCCTGCGAGTCCAAGACCACCTGAAGAGAACAGACAATTCAGAACCCCGTCCTAGTTTTATGTTATGGCTAGAAAGCAGAAGCAGCAGTGAAGTGAAGTTAGCAACTGAAAAACTGAGAGAAAGCTTTGCCAACTTTCTGAATTAAGAAGTCTATTTCATAAGCTAGTAAAACACTGAGGAATTTAGCACACTTTGTATTTGTCAGGAGAGTCATTCAAGCGTTGATATGGTATCTTCCTTTAATGCAAGATCTCCCAGGAAGACACAGTAAAATGTATTCTTCCTTTACCTTACAGCAGCCTTCTTCAATCCGGTATCCTCTAGTTGTTTAGGACTACAAGTCCTATTATCAGTGATTGTTGCATAAGTTGTCTAGGACTGACAGAAATTGCAGTAAGATATCTGGTAGGGACCAGAACAGGGAAAGTTGCCTACAAGGAAGACTGGCAACCATACCAACAGTTCATTTGGCTGGATAAGATGCCAAAGAACTACATCTACCATGGAGAAAATCAATGCCTGCTTGCATATTGGAGTGCATACGTGCATATGTTCTTGCAAATACCTTTTGAAAGCTTGTGTTGGAAGCTGCAAGGTACCATTATAGCATGAAAACTGCTCCGAGTGAACTACTGATTGTAGAATGCATTCAATGAGTTAAGCTGTTCTGTTTCTCATAGCATTAATTTATGTGGTTCACAGCTGCAAAGTACGCTCACTAAACAAACAAATGCTAGGTTAACGGAATTTCTTTTGGAACCAAGGCCGCACCATCCAGGGAACTCCTTATTTAAAAGAGCACCGCAACAAAAATAGGTCATTACCGGAAGCACTCCCAGTGCTACTAACCTAACCAAGCTTAAGAAATAGAAGATTCTGCACTTTCAATCTGTATTTTTTTTATTTATTTGTTTAATTTAAAGTTAGGTGTCCTGCATAAAGACATGCATATCTTTTTGCTTTTTACATCTTGGCTGCAGTGCAAAGGACTGTGGTGCCTACAGAATATTGAAGGGGAGCCTACAAGAAAGGGCTAAAACAGAGACAGGGTTCAGAGTGACTCTTCCCCATTATAGCCTCCCAGACACCCCAGGCCTAACAGAGTCTCTGAGAGATGCAGACACCAAATTAAGTTCCCCAACCTCACCTGCAAGGTAAAAATAGGAAAGTGTGCTAGCAACCTTCAGGCATTGGTGTGAAAGAATGATTCATATCACACAAACAGCCTCTCCCTACATGGTCCCTGAACAGATTCTGTTGGCATATAGTTTTTTACTTTTGTCTGGTAACTTGTCTTGGAGGCTGCTTTGGGCATTGTTCTAGTGACAGAATTAATGCAGTTTCCTTTATGCATAAGTCATGGATGAACACTTGTTTCATCCAATAAGGCTAGATACTAAGTCAGTTCAGGAGGTGTGGCAAGGTTGCAACTTTTAGTCAACCACTTTTTTGTAAAAGCATAGCAAGAGTCTAAAATTCTGTACAAGAGCTTTGCAACTCAAAAAGGCATATTCTGTCCCATGGCTATGGTCAAGAATGTGTCCGAGATCTTCCATAGCCTCACAGCATGGCTGGATGTTTGTTTTCTTCATGGAACAGCAGAAATGACCAACTTCAGTCAACATCCCTTCATCGTCAAGTCATAATCTTTCAAAATATCCACAAATTTAAAAAGCTATTTGTTGCCTGATGTGCACGGGTAAGAGGGGAATACTACAAACACTAGATGCAGCCAGGTACACGGAGGTGGTGATCCAGTCCTTTGGACTGTGGCCAATAATATTGTACATAATATTATGTACTATTGTATTTTAATGTATTTTATCATGTTGTAAGCTGCCCCGAGGTTTCGGCAAGGGGTGGCATAGAAATGTTATAATAATAATAATAATAATAATAATAATAATAATAATATGAAGTATAGTCATATTATTTATAGATAAGGGAATGAGAATGGTAAAATGTCAGTGGACTCATGAGACCAGAAGACTTGGAGCACTACTTTCGGGGCTGCAGACTTCATACCAGCTATTATATTGAGTCCCAAGTAATTTACACTGATGGATGAAAAAGGAAAGACATAAATTCAGATTTTCCAACTTCAAGCAGCAGCAGCTGTTTGTTCTGTTTTTATTGTTTCCCCATTCTTGACAGTGAACTTAAAGCTTTGCAGGGCTAGAACCAAATATACCTGCCACTATGTCCGATGTGATGACTCATATGGTCAAATTCTTGGGCAAGCATTATTCTAATCTATAGGACACCACAGTGGCACAAAAAGCAGGAAACAAATTGCTGCAAAGATGAATACAGAGACTTGAGACCATGGGGTAGGCCTGGCCCACCCTTGCAGTAGAGCCAAGCCACTTTTCTCCCAAGCTCAGATCCTACAGGAGCCACCCACAATTTGCTGCTATGCATATTTCTAGCACCTGTGTCAACATGCGACAGACCTCTCTCAGGCATTTTGTCCGACATGGCTACTTCTCACCTTTGCAAGGCAGAAGCAGGCCATTATCCTCACTCGATAGAAACACTGCTCTTGCTCAAGGATATCCGTCAGTGCAAGTCGTGATGCCGGTGTGGGGAACTTCTGAAGAGCCAAAATAGATTCCTCCTGTGCAACGACATCCCTCTCGTATCGAAGCTGATACTGCCACATGAAGTCCGCCTGTTCAAATTCTACCTTCCTTAATACAGACATGTCTGGGTCGATTCTTATCCACAGTAAAGGGGAATCAGCACTAAAGGAGATGACCAAAATTTGTGCTAGGACTTAAAATGCAGCAAAAATGTAAAGACGAATAAAAACTTATTAACATGTTAAAACCTAGCATCTTAAAAATAATTTTTTTGTCTTTTTCTTGTTCTGCAAGACCAAGGATGAACAGTTCTGTTACTCGGAATGTGGTGTCTTTAGTAATAATATTTGAAATATCAAGCAGTTTCTTACAAAGTAACAATCAAGATACTGAATTTTAAATTCTGTCCAGAAGCCAGTTCTGGACAGAAATAACATGCAGCCCAGCTCAACTGGAATATAATGATCACGCTATAATTTAGCACCCACAGACTCATGTGTTGTTTCCTCCCTTTCCATGCAGCCACTCTCTCCTAGTTCAAAGTTTGCCATACCATTCAAACTAGCATCTATAGTGAGTTACTTGTTTCCAAACCATCATTTGCAAACTCATTTCAACTTGTTGGTGGAACATACCATAACTAAAGCGCCACGACAAAACAGGATTAGCAAAAATGAAGAAGGGAAGGGAAGGAAGCATAACCACATGGGATGGTTTCCACTGCCAAACCATGGTTTGGCATTATGTCTGAACTGAATTAGTTTGTGTATGTGCTGGGGAGCTTTCCAGAATGTGTCTGTGGCATAAATCTGCAACTGTTATGCAAGATGAACCACACGAAGAATTTCAGCTATTTCTGCCCAGAAGTGCTCTGAAAGCAGGAATTTTGTAAGTTTTTTCCTAGGCTTTGTTATTCCGTTCTAAAGCTGTACAATGAACCTTACCACAAAGGCCACTTTTAGCATTACTATTATGATATATGTAAGCTATCATCAGCAAACTGTTTATAAGCAGTTGCCAACTCATCAGAGTCACTGTGAATCACAGAAGGCTACATGCATTCTGCTGTGCTTTCAAAAAACTTCCTCCATTCCCCTGCCCCACTGTGGATATTCAGAGCTGCTGGAGGATGCTGCTCACCTGTTTGGTAAGGAGGCTGGACTGGGAAGCATTTTGTAAACAGGTGATTTTTATCATGTCTCTGATGGGGTGGGTAGGATTGGCTGCATGTATGGAAAATCAGCTGCTGTTTTTGAATACATGTGGCTGCTGTTCAATTGGTGCGTGGGACAGCTGCATGCAACAAATTCAAGAAAAGGAATGATTTCCCTTTGCTTTCATGCATTAACTTACTCCATGGCAGAGAGATCCATGTCCACTTCCTCTCCATTCATTAAAGGAATCTTTTTCTTCTTATTTCTGCATTTAAAAATACCATTTTATTAAAATGTATCTTAAATACATTTTCCCTCTTTTCTGTTCAACCAATGCAGATTGAATAAGTAGATAACAAGATAGCTGAGCTATAAAAACAGCACCAATGTCCCCAATTTATTTTCAGCCACTGTTACTTCAGAGGTTTGTACTCCCTCAGAAACGGAAGTCATATGGATATATCTTCAAGATTGCTCTATCTGGACTATTTTTACCTACTTACACCATTTAACTAATCAGTACAATCAATATCCAGAATGATTAAACAGTGGCAGAAGTGGCAATACAAATTCTTGTACTGTAATGCCCTGCAGGACAGCTCCTTCCCAGCCTGCAGCATCATTACAAGTCCTGGGTTAGAGCAGAGGAACCACCATTATGTTACCCACTGGCAGCATTGGCACTGGGAAAAGTTGGTCTGGGGTTTCTCATGTTACCCTAGTGACTAGGGAAGAGGCAACCCTGCAGGAACCTCCATGAATCAGAAAATCCATATATCAAAAGGGCACCCTATAAATCATACCGTCTGCTCTTGGAATGACAGGGTATGTCATGTTTAAGGCTGTTTTCTTCTATCTGAAGTGTGTGGTTGAAGGATCCATCAAGCTCTTGCACTGTTACTTTGAGAGGGCCCTTCAAAAAGATTTGTTATCAAAATAAACATTAAAAAATAAACATAGTAGCAGTAATAATGTTTCAAGGCAGAGGCAAGCAAGACAGAACTGCATGCATTACATTTCTACCCTTGCCCTACCTCAGAATGGTCTTTACTACACAGCTAGGCTGACAGGAGTAACTTTGCTAAGGATACCCAACAGGTTTCACAGGTAAACAGAGATGTGCACCTGGGAACCCCATTGCTAAACACTTTCTACCCACTATACTAAGTTGCCTTTCGATTGTTATCAGCAGCCTAAATACCCTCATCAAAATTAGGGAAGCCTCAAATAACCAACACACAAAAATGACAGGAATTCACAAGAGTGCCTGTTTATTTTCTGTTAACCTAACCATCAGAGGGGAGCTCCCTTCTTGTTTCACTCTTTCTGCCTTCCCTGTGTAACTTGCTTTTTGGCCAAGTATCCTCAGTGCAATTCTAATACTATATCACCTTGTAGTTTTAAAAATAGTTTTCCAGTTCACATTTTTTTGCCATAACAGCTAAAAACAAGAAAGCTAGGAGTTAATTGTATACTACCTCCATGTATCAGCTTTTTCAAGGGCTGACTCAAATGTTACTTGGAGGGTTATAGCAAGTAAGGGAAAAATGGGAACTTTGGTTAAGAGAGCAGATTTCAACTCAGGCAACAAACGTTCCCTCCTCTTTCTCTACCCTGTAGCAATCTGAACAGAGTGCGTGCGTGCGTGCAGGTAGGTGGGTGGGGGGGAGCTGGGGGGAGGTGACCTGGAAAAGGTAGATCTGATTAGCGTCATTCAGTTGCATTTACTAATTAGAATCATTCCATTAGTGGACAGGCTCAATTAGATACAACCTCACCAATTGTCTTGATAAAACATTGCAAGTTAATGAAAGTAATACTAAATGTCTGTTAATAGTAAACAAGAAACTGAAGTATTTAAAGTAACTGTGGGTCACTAACTTTTCTATTACATTTATTATTTATTCAATTTATATTCTGCATTATATAATTAGTCAGAAGACTCTCTAAGCAAATACAGCCTAGAGCACCAAACAACCCTTTTAACAGTAGAAACATATACTAACATCTCTCATACTTTCAAGGTTTCAGGAAAAGGAGAAATACATACCACGTATTTTTGTGTCCCAGGAGATGTATAGTCTTGCTTTATCTCTAACTCCAATACATTTCGTTTTCTATTGAATGCAAAACTGCCATAAAATTTTACCACACCACTCTGATCTCTGATCAAACCAAATAGGATAACAACAGATATGCAGATACACAACACTCGCATTCCTTAGACTAACAGAACTGCAGCAGTACACCTCAGTATGCAAGGCTTTAGTGCTTCAGGTAGGTTTGCTAAGGAAACATTCCTGATGAGTCATTTCTTTAATTTACAGTGACAGTTAATGTACAATCTAAATAAGCATTTTAAGATGCTGCACATTTTAATGACAATCACAATCGCTAAAGGAGCTCAACTCAGATTTTACATTCAAAACTGTATGCTTTTCAAACACATACCTTAAAGCGACAGCTGAAACTCAGGGCTTGCTGCTTTTGGATGCAGCCCTGATCTGTGCTTATATTAATTAGAATTCAAACATTATATTAAAATTTGACACTGAAAAAGTATACTTTTTATGCTGAAGATTTAGCATGAAAAGAGAAGAAAGGGATACAGCATTTTTTCTCTTTTCTGAGAAGAGTGACTTTACTAGAGTCAGATAATGTACATTTTAAATTAAAAGCTAAATATTTACATAAAATCTGTTTCAGTCAACAGACTCTGAATGCTTTACATGTTGTACTATTTTTAATGAGGAGGTAATTTAGAAGTTAAGAGAAACTTTTAAAAGACAGTGAAGCATTCTTACCAGTGACCAATTCTGTGCACTATAGGGGGTCCTATCCAGCATTCCTCTGTATATCATACAGGGCTTTCTGAAAAGGACCATCAGGTACATGACTCTCCCTGTTGAGTTTCTAGTCCTGTGGATAAAAGATGTGTGCACCTGCCTAAGTAGACTCCTGTGGCAATACCAAATACTGGGCTAGCTCGCAACAGGGCAACCCAGGTGGGGCTGTTGCTTTGCATCAGCTGCCATTTTTGCATGGTACCCATGTGCTGTGGGGGTCGTCTGAGGATTAGGCAACCCATACCTCCGTTCCCTCTGTAAATACCTTGTTTTAGGGTTATTAAGGGTTGTCTACCTGTCACCAGAATTTGCACATGGCAAGCCATGGCAAGCCGGGCACCCATAGGTGCCATGCAAAATCATCCCTGCAGGTAAATTAAGCCACGGTGGACTGCCATGTGACCTAGATCACTGGTGTGTGTTGTATATGAATTTCACTTGAGCGCTGAGAAAATAAATCAAGCTAAAGATTCATACTGGCAGGCAGCTTAGCAACTGCCAACAAGTTCTACACAAGCCACATTTTTGCTATTAATTACTACAGTGACTGGACATATTAGTATTCAATCCCAAGAATTTTTCTGCCACATTTTAGTGTTTTGGAATTCCTATCTGAGGACAGAATGGAGGGTTAGGTGGCATTTCCCATAATCTGATTCAGGAACATTTCTGAAAATCCCCTGGATCCTTGTTGTGTAGTTTGGCCTTAAACAAAACCAGGCTCCTGGCATGTCTTTCAAAGGGAGCACACCACTACAAAATGCTCCTCCTATGATACAATATTGAAAATTAAATAAATGAGCCACAGTAAACATGACTGCTGTAAATCCTTACAAAAGGCAGGCAGCAAAATTTGAGCAGATTTTTAAGTACCAATGTTTGCAACTCTGAATTTTACTAAGCTTGTTTTTGTGTTCCAGTACATTTGTTTAAAAGAACCAAAGAACAGCTACTTTTCAACATCACAGTTACTAGCTCACAGCTAGAATGAAAAAGGATACACCCACTGCTTTATTAATGGCTGGATATCTTTGCCAGACACATTGGAAATAGATTTCAAAAACCCAGATGTGGAAACCAGCATCTGACTCCACATGTGAGACTGGAACTTCTGCGATGAGGCAGTGCTGGCCAGACTCAACAGTTTGTTGAAAACCTACAAAGGCAATGATTTCAGTCAAAACAAGCAAAGTGATCTTAAATATTGAAGAAATATCAGCAACAACCACCATTGTGTGTATATCCTGCATTTAAAACAAAATCAGGTAAAACCAAAGATGGTTCATGGACATTGATTTTAAATTGTACCTTGCCTGAGGAGCCAGGACAAGAGAATGAGGTTTCAAACCTTATCTCTTGTGAACCATCTTGTCATCATTCCTGCAATTTACTTTGAAGAGTCAGCACTTCACAAAATGCATCAATTTCAAGTTACATCATGTTTGCAAAGTGACTATCCAGTCCCTTGCTAAATGAACCTGCAGATTCTGTTTTGAACAGTATCAAAGCACATACGGCAACCTCAGAGAAAGCATTGTGACGTCCTGCTGCTGCTGCTCGTTCCCAACATATAGCATTCAGAAGAATACTGCTTCTGTACTGGAGGTGTCAGACACTACCCTGACACTCACTGCTGATATGCTCATTTTCAAGTAGCTTCCTTACAGCATGCACAAAGTGATAGAAATCATACAGCTAAGAGATTTGTTTAAACTGTTTCCAGTAAAAAAAATACTGGGAACAGACTGAAACATTTAAATCAATAGTGAATGCCATCGTTTTTGGAAACTGTGGCCCAATTCCATGGCACACTATTCAAGACACAAAGAGGAAACCTCGTTTTCCGGGCGTGGTTATAAATCAGCCCAAACCACACCAGTTGATTATGCAAACAGCTAACCATGAAGAGAGGTGCCCATGCAGTCTCAGCTTTACAGATCGATGCTAAGACAACACGATACAGCTACACTGCTGACATTAAGCAGCTCTATGCCTGGCTAGTGACAATGTCATCTGTGACACTTTGAGGTATAGTACCAGTGCAACAGGTAAGTATTAATAGCTTAGGCCAGCACAAATGTAACGCTGGCTCTGTGTTAACCACGGACAGGAGTTCAGGAACAGGGAATGTTTCCACCAGTCTTGACTACTATTAGCAGTGCAATCCTAGACATTCTACTGAGTAGTAAGCTTCATCCAGTTCAAATAATTCCCTGCCCCTGCCCCGATAATACAGGCACAGAATTATGTCTAAACTAACCCTCAAAACAACCTACCTAGGTTGTAGGTAGGAACGATTGGAGTTGTAGTTGAATAAATCTGAAGAGCACCAGGTTGAGGAAGGCAAGGTTAAAGGTTAACCTTGACTAAGTTTGTTAAGCACCTTCAAGCCTTGATTACACATCTTGCTTAAGCGCTGATTCTGAAAGCTTTTGACTATATGTAACTCTAGTGCAAGTGTATCCCTTAGTCACAGTAAAGGTGGGAAGGAGAAATTCAGTCTGGGAGTGGGCCCAAAATTTCATGGTCCCAATCATTTATCTTTGGCTACCAATTAAAATAAAAACACACTCTCCAAACATTTTGTTTTATTGCTCTTCTTCAGATACTCAGATTTTGAGCATACTTGATATGTAAGGCTCTTAAATGCAACCATGTTTTAAAGGTTGCTATAAGTTTAAAAAATTGAAATAGCAATCCTAACAGTAAAACGTAAATGCATTTCAGGTAATATTTAGACACTTACTTGTAACATAAACTCCATGCTTATTCTGTTGTCTATCAATCTCATGACAAGGTGGGCTTTGCACTGAAACATAGTGTAGTATTCCCATGATAGCGTGTGAGGATGTTTTATAGAAAAATGCAGATGTGAAGCAGGGCTGGAAAATTAAATCAAGACCATTTCAGGAGGGTTTTCATGTTGCTTTATATGGGAAAGTCCCATCACAGTTAGTAGCAGAGGCTACAACCAAAAGATAAACAGGGGAAGAGCCAGATGGGATTCTAGTAATTCAAATCTTGCAAGCAATTAGGTATACATTTTTATAAAATTAAAAACAGAATTTCAGAAGTGTACTTCAACACTTTACTCAACTTTTAAAAACTTCTGAAGGTTTAGATGTGAAATTTCTTTAGACTCGCTGCAAATTCATATATGCAACATTCATACTATCCTCCAGCAGTTTACTTTTATCTGGTCCTCAGTTGCAAACTAATCCACAATACCATTTCTATGTTCAGCTGAAAGCAAATGACTTCTGTTCCACCTTGTTTGGCATCATGCAAAGAAAAGAAGTAGTGCCTTGCTCATATTCCTTTGCACTGAACATGGAGGTATCATAGAGGACACAAACACAGGAGTAACTGCATTATTCTCAAACCCCAGCTATAAGACACCAAGGGGAAACAGCAGTGGGATCAAACAGCAGTGACTTAAACTAAACCGTATCTGGACAAGTACAAACTGCCCAGTGCTTCAAGCACCAAACCACTGCCAAACAACTGGAGTGAAGAAGTGTTTAAGTTGCTTTCAACTCTCACTTACAGTTACTTTAAAAAATTAAGGACATAAGGTACAGCTTGACATTACAAACTTGTGCTGAACAAAACTTTTCTGTTAACTGATGATGCTTTGACACTTTCATCAATTTTAGATTTAGGATTCAGTATTTCAGCATCATTTATTGAATAATGCACATTCTCTCGCCAGGTGTCTAAAAAGAGTGAGGCTCCATCACCATGTTTTTTATTACAAAAACTGCACAGCTGGCTAAAAGCAGACGCACATTGGACATTAATGGAATTTTAGTAGCTGTAAAAATAACAGGAGTTAGGTTTTATTTGCACTTCTCTAGTGAAATTATTTGTTTCACAGGAAAGATTTTTGGGCTGCTTAACAGACATCAGCTAATAAAGATATTCATTTAACAGATTCAGTTCAAAAAATACAAAATGCACTTCCATTTTGTCATTTGAACAAGGATAATATTTACCAGGGATGTTCTTTATGGACTATTGGGTAGCAAAGCAATTAAGCTTTTAACCCCATCTTTCATTACTCACCCAATGTACATTTATATTAATGGCCCTATAAATAAATTCATTGCCTAAAAAAACATACTTGTCTTTTTCTTTTCCTCCACCAAAGATTGGATGCAGTAAGACTCCACCAGTCTTCAGCTCGTACAACACTATTTTGTCTAGTTCCTGAAAGGCAGAACGAATTAATATACCAAATGTGCATTTGGTTAAAAGACAAGACCAGCTGGAAGCAAAACCATGGCTGTGGACATGGGCATAAAAAAAATGCAAAACATAGACTTGGGAACAAGAGCTTTTTTCCCTTTATTTGCTAGAGAAGTACCCAACAGAAAAATGCTGTGTTTTTGGATCATATACACTCTCCCTCTATTTCACATTATAATCAAGTCCCACAAAGGCTTAATGGGTTCAAATTTCAAAATCCACACTGGTAGACAAAGCACCACTAGTGACTGTCCTTGTAATGCAGAAGTGACAGAGGCTGCATTCACACAACACAAACCACCCTGCAAAATTACCATGGTTTCTAGGGGTTTTTTTTTATATACCATGGTCTACCTGATAGATGATCAAGTGGTTTCTATTTTACCATGGTTTCCATCCTCCCCATTAAGTCCTCCTACAGTTGGCATGTATCCTATCTGACACTGTGCCTGAAACTCAACCTCAAGGAGCACTGTTCCCTTCCTACATTGCCTGCCTCTTCCATATCGGTCCACACAAAGAGACTGGATGTCTGGAGCAGCTATTGCAGTTGCTGCGCTTTCCAGGGGACCCTGTGGTATTTTCATATGAAGGATCTGGAAACATAATCCTGGGCTCAGGCAACAAGATAAGCCATGGTGGTACAGAGAAACCATAGAAGCTATTACCATAGCTACCACAACTGGTTCAGATAACACAACAGAGCAACTATGGTAAAAAACAAAACAAAAAACCAAACACACCATGGTTTGTCATGTTGTCTGATCCTAGTCAGTGTTGGGTCTGTTCTAACACAGAAACACTTTCTTTTCTACACATCTTTTGAGGGTATAGCAAACCTGCCTTCTTTTCCATCTGTTGCTGGCTAGCTTACTCTTACTGGACAGTTGCTATGTGATTTCTGGGACGGGGCACTTACTCCTACAACATGTGAAGCTGTTTAAAGGAAAACAGATGCAAACAGGATACAGAAATACAGAATTAAATCAATTTAAAAATGATGGCTTTTCATAGCAAAATCCATCTCACTTCTTGACAGAGGCTACGAAGGTATATAAATAAAACAACCAGACGGACTGGACTAATTAGAAATCATGCAATTGATAGAAGGCTATGAGGTCTCCTAGAACATAGGGCTAATTCTTATTCAGGCAGGAAACTAATGTGTGGGCTGTTCTACTACAGACTTCAGGAGTTGACTTAACTGAATGGGTATATTACCTCTTTGATCCAGTGACGATACTCATTTACACCAAAGGTTTTCTTCATCCAAAGACCATAAATATAGCCAGAGATTCCCTTCAACACCCACTCATCTGACCTATAAGCAAAAAAAGAAATAAGGACTCCATTTCTCTTGATTCACGGAAAAGCATAAACCCAGAAAGTAGCAGCTCCTGCTTAATGCTTTCCTGCTATGAACGTTTTAGCAGCTGACACAACTTTGGCTGGACATCTAAGTAAATAAAAGACTGATGAGCTGTGAACTAATGTGTGTGTCCTGGCAACAAGTGAGACTCATGAACATCACAAAGCTACTGAAGAACTAGTCAACTTTGCATCTGAAGATTACATCTGAAATACATCTAGCGGTTATTTTAATGGCAGATTAATTTCACATTGCATCTGATAGGAGTCAGATCAAGAGCTTAAAAGATCATACCATACTAAAACCTGAACCAGGAACAGAAGTTACAGGTTCAAATCCCCACTCTGCTTTGAAGCTCTCCAAGTGCACTTCAGCCAGTCACCATCTCTTAAACTAACCAACCTCACTGGAATGCAGTTGGGAAGAAATGGATGGTATTTTACAGCCACCGAAGTCCAGTATTCTATCTACAAGATCATACAGGTGGTAACAGTGACCAATTATACATCTACCAATGTTAATTAAAAATACTTATATTCTTCCACCAAAATGAATTTCCTACATGTATTTCTTCATGACTTATTTCTGGGTCAGCCATCCTGGAAAATGGCAGACAGAAATGCATGCACCAGAACAGAGATCTCTGTGTTAAATGGATTTCTCCACTGGTCTGAAACACTTCAAAGTCCCCTGCACATTTTCTTTTTAAAGGAGACTATGGCAGGTCCAATAACTATTGTAGCCTCCTCCTTTCCAGCAGCAATTCCCCCAACACACCTCACCCAGACCTCATAAAAAGTAAGGGCTCCAGCATTCACCTGAGTCTCTAACCCTAACTAAAGTATTTTACTGGACACAGGATTCTCAGCTTTTTCCTACAACAACCCTGCTTTTGAAATTCACTTTAAATCTCTTTTTGGTATCTTTACAATAAGGCAGCTTAGAGTGCAATGTAATGCATGTTTGGCCAGAGATAAGTACTACAATTCCTAGCTACCCAACCATAAGAAATGTGTGTGTGTGTGCCCATGCGCGCACACATCAACCTAATTAAGCATTTCTATGTTATATGTAGTTTAATGTATACATATAACTATATGTTATATACATGTATATATGTAATATACTTATACAGAAGTATCTATATATGTTATATAGGTAACATATATAACACACACTCTTTAATATGATGTTATATTAAGAAACCATTTTTGTGTGACCGCTGTGATGGCCTTAGTATGAATTTGCATGATGTTTAGCAAAACTAAAAATTCATATACTTAAAGACAAAATTGTATTTTTGCACAATATATTTCATTTTAAGATATACTCACCAAGACATTCTAGATATAAAACAGCCAAAGAACTGCTGAGCCAGAGCCTGAGCCAAACACCTCCTGGTCAGTGGAGTCTCATCTATTATCATTGCACTGTGTAAAAGGTTGGTGCTAAACAAAAAGCAAACATGCAGTAGTGAAACATAACATCTTTCAGAACCAAGCACACTCCCCCACCCATTTTAACAAGTAAAACAAAATGTATTGCTTACTTATAGCACTTTCTTAACACATATAAGATGCACATTCATTCATTCATTCATTCATTCAGGTAAAGCAGCTACATGAGAGAAATGCACTGTGAGCCTTTCCACAGTGGTGGACAGTTCACTCTTCTACATCCGGGGCGACTTCTGAAGTTCCTCAGAGGTACAGAGGAACTTCTCTAAGCACTGCTTCAGGAAAGCAGCGCAGTCCAAAAGGCTCCCCACTGAAAAGTATCCAATACTTGCCACATGTACTTTAGACTACAGCTGCAGGATGGAGATTGGAAGAATGTTAAAAGCCATCAACATGCCTAGCTACATCCCACAACAGTCAATTTAGAGATCATACATATTTATGTTACCGGCATTTAAAATGTAGGCGATATGTTATTTACAGTTCTTGTCATATCAATAAACTGTAAGACAGGTTACCTGTGGTATTATTCTATAAGCTAAATTAAAATATTGAACTAGCCCAAAGTCATTCCTTGTGAAACCACAGCCAAATTTTGGCCATAGTTCATGTCCAAATCTAACACCATCCTTGGCCCTTTACTTTATGAATCCTGAGTTACTTTTATTTGCTTATTTGCTGACACGGACTAGTGATTTTGAGTGAAATATGATTTTGCCAATGAAGTAAGGCCAGTTAAAGCAGAATGAGATGCAGTGGGGCAGTCTGCATGGTCAAGCCAGCCATAGACCACTGGGGATAAGCAGAAGAGATGCTGCTGCTTTATCTCCTAAACAACTGAGTGGTCCAGGTTTGCATTTCATGCTCAACAAATCATGAAGGGCCAATCATAGCTTTCTTGAATAAAAACTAAAGTGGTGCACACACGGGTGGCAGCACATTTACTCACTCATATTTGTGCAAGACAACCCATGAGTTTTTAACCCTGAGGTGCTATTATGCATGAACCAAGTCAGTATCTCTTTATAAAAGATGGAAGATACAATAACATGTAGTAAATATCCAGGCATTTCTTAAGCCACAACAAGAATAATTATATGTACTAACCTAAAAATGCTCATAGAAGCATAAGCAGCGACTTCAACATAAGCTTCATCTACAAAAACCGTTTTGAAACAGGAGTAAGGGTAGCGACAGGTAAGTATCTCTTCATAGAACTCAAACACTTCATGGAGATATGATGTGGTATGTTTCAGCAGTGGGAGAAGCTGTGGCAAACAAAAATGAGTCACCTGCAACAACAAAAGCAAATCTTTTAAAATGGAAACTATCAAGTCACAAAATATTAACATTTGCCATCTTAAATTCTGCACAAGGAAAAACTGAAGAAATGAATTCTGATCCTGGTAGCTGTACAATAGCAAGACGAATGGCTGTTCGCAGCTTCTGATTATGCAAACGAATGCAATGTTTAAACTTTCAAAATGACAGGAAAAGAGAGGTAATACTCGGATTAATAGCATGGTCTGAGGCTACAGAGAGCAGCCTGTATGAAGTAAAAAGCACTATAGAGTAAGCTTTTGAGTACCACATTACTGCTAAGTCACTGGAATCCACTGCAAGTTAAACACACACTTCTTTTTCAAAGGTATGGGAGCAGATGTAGAAAAAAAATGAAATGTTCCAAAGTAAAAAACAAGGCAAGAAATGGAAGAATGTGAAAGACTGATATTTTAACTTGATGATCCTAGCAGTCAATAACTTAGAGCTTTATCTAACTGTAGCCTTGAAGACTCCAAGCAAACAACAGTAAGTTTAAGAACAAAATAAGAGAATTGCCTTAAAATTCATATACAATCGATGCAGTTTGGGATGGGGACTCTTGGCTGCTGTTGATTTGCTTTTGTATTTATTGTTTTTGCTTGTTAAATATGATTATTTTGTTGTTTATTTTGTTGTGCTATGGGGCAGTATGAAAGTATAATAAGAAGAATACTCCAGGAGTAATACTTTAATTATTGTCAAGAACTTCTCACCAAAATGAATCCAGATCAGTTATGAAAAGTACTGCATAAAATCAAGTGAAGAGTATTACCTCATGCATGTATGGATCAACAAGGATTTCAAATGGTCCAATAGCCAAAGAAATGTTCGATGCTGCAGTTGGGATTGCCAGCATGTAATGGAATGTCTTTTTTCTCATATCATGAGTATACACTGTTTCCACTAAGTCTCCATTTGAGACAGCTACCATTGTGGCATCAACTGTATACTCCAATTTCCAAGTACATAGTTCAGAATATGAATCAACACAAGGAAACCAAAACCTAGAGATAAAAAGTTAGGATGTTAAAAAGAATGCACTGAGGTGAGACACCTAAAATGCTGTGTTACTTCATGTGGAGCCATTTAACCCTTATCTTTACCAAAATTATACAATTCTGCAAGCACCCAAAATATATTACAAAACCCTAGCTAATTTGGGACTTTCACTCAATATTAAAAGCTTCCATCATGCTCAACAGAATGCAGCACTAGACTGGATGTACACATATTTAAGACATTTCTTAAAATTCCACTTCCTGGTAAAGCTTCAGGAATGTACAAATTAGTCAATTAGTGACACTGATTGAATGTGTGTGCACATTTGGTTGGAATTTAGGATAAACATTACAACCTGTGGCAAACACATCAACTATTCTCTAAACCTATGACATATGTGCCATCAAGGAGAACATGCATCTGTGTTACGACTTCCTGTTTAGTTAGACCACCTCCTTTTAAGCAATACTGTTCCAGATCTTCTGATTTTTGGTTTTCCAATGTTTTCTTTTATAAAAATGAATCAAGGAAACATTGAAAAATCAGCTAGGCAAACTAGGTTTTTTCAAAACTACTCCTGCAACACCAGTATCGACAGAAGGTTTATTTGCACTAGTAGTTAAAACACAGATGTAAATTTTTGATATTGAGAACAGAACTAACAGCATAATTAATGGAAGATTAATTATGATTTCACTGATATTGAGATATTAAGAGCTACCTTTGTATATGTTTCCACTAAATTCATATAAATATAACAAATATATCAATACAAGGAGATTACTATGTAAATTAACAATCCTGTACACATGATGAAAACAAGCCACCATGACTTGTTTTCATTCCAGTGTGTGCCAATGTGAGCTAAGCACCTCCCTAATCACCTGCCCAGACATGGTTTGTCAAGTCACCTAAACCCAGGTGCCATGGCTTGTCTGAGGAAGAAACACTTCCTAAATAACCCATGGTATGGGCATGTAACCAGCATGTGAGTGGACAAGGAGGAAAACCTGCACATGCTGGGAACTGAAACAAGCCTCCATGGTGGAGTGTATCATCATGTGAATGGGCCTTCTGTGTAAAGAATGTTAGCTATCTGTTTAGCGTACATTCTTGAGTTGAAAAGCTGCAATTGGCTGTAATTCCCAGCAAGGACACCTATCATTATTTACTTCCTACACATCTCTGAAGTGTTCCTAAGGTACTTCAAAAGTACCCGTGAAGCAAAATAAGACTGTATCTCTAACTATCACAGCATTTTATTACAAAGTCTAGAACATTTTAATTAGGATTTCTCCAGTTAGGGACTGTGAGGATAAGACTGAACAATGCTTACCTTGTAGAATTTTGATATCCACAAGAGAAGACATGTGCTCCTCTCTCTGCTAAGCTGCCTTCCACATTAGGTACCACAAAATGAAGACCTCCCTTGGGTTGGTCCAGAGAAAAGTTGATATGTACTTTTAAGACTTTTAATTCTGCAACAATAAATAACCCACCATAATTTTCAGTATGTGTGCACTGAGTCATTGTCAGAAAAAAGCATGGCAAGCCCAGCCTTAAAATTCAGACTTGCAAAAGCCTGGGTTCATAACATCAATGCACTTGAGAAAAAAGATTAAAATCAACACAGACTAGGAATTCTGAGTGAAACAGGATTTTCTGTTTTTAAATATATAAAGAACATTTACAGAGGATTTTTCTCTTGACAAAGGCTTTCTGATATACAGAAACTAGTCAATGGTGCTTGAAGAAACTCCAAGAACTTGTCATAAATTTAATTAATCCAATGGCTTGTCTGATCCACAAGCCCTCAAGATCAAACATGACAACGGCCCTGCAGGGTCCTTGATCCACTGCCAACGCACAACACCACACATGCAAAATTATTATACCCTGCTAGCAAATCTGCAGCAGTTTCACTTTAAGAATCAACAGGACCTCTGTACTTTACCATCAACATGTTTCCGAAGCTCTGATGGCACCTTAATACACAGCTCCCCATTCCCAGCATCAGGATCCACAGCACTAACTGCAGCTGCATATGCATTGGAGAAGTAGTTGAGATTTCTCCTGCAAAAAGGAACAATGCAGTAGTCTGTTCAAGTCTGAATTCAAGTTAAACTTGGGGGAAAACAGACTTCAGGGTGAGGATAACTCCTCTCTACCAGTACAGCTTTAAAACACAGTTTAAAATAATATACTCAAACAATAATTATGAAACTCTTGTCTTCTATAGTAACTGCACTGCTGAACCAGAAATGATGCTCAACAGCCACAGGGCAGTTGACAGAGACAGAATTTACACCATTTTTCAAAGTTGCAAGAATTGTACGGCTTGGATCTGATCTGAGTGGTCATTTAATAATTTTCGTTCAGAGAGTCTATTTCTTGCTCCACAGGGGTAGGAAACCAGGAGTTTTTACTGTTTGTCATGCTGACTGGGGCTGATGGGAACTGTAGTCCGATTCATCTGGAGATTGTCTAACCTAGACATAGCTTTACTGCATGGGCAGATGGGCAAGATCTGACAGCCAATGCAAACAGAGACTGGATATGCACAGTGAGAAGTCGCCTCCACAGGATTATGGTTATGTCCTATGAAGGGCTTTAAAAAGCCATCACTATCCATTAGACCAGGCAGCCAAATTGGCAGCCAGTAAAACTTCCACAGAATACGCTTCTGTCTCCCCGCATTTGACAAAAGAATTATTTTCTAAGTGACTACAGACTATCTCTGTAATTTAAATCATCTGTATTGCGGTGATAAACTTTATGAGTTGGCCTATAATACATAATATACTGAGTGTGATGCACATAAAGGTTTTTCTTTGATATATTAAGGTCTGGACCAAAATATGCATGGAAATTCAGAGCTGAGAATCAACATTCCAGTTCCTAGCCACAATGCATCCTATTCATTAATGCTAACTCATCTACATCCTGTTACACTCTAATGGTGGTGATTTCACACTCAATTGAATTCCTTGCCTGGGTAGCTTTACACCAAACCTCTTCTTTTCCAATGTGATCAAAAGAACAACAGAGAATACCATTCTTAGTTTGGGTGTTACAGTAAATGTTGTACAGAACTGGTTTACAAATGTTCCTTTTTAATGAACTATACTCCTAAAAGATACTTTACATAGACATATTTGCCTGCAATACCAGTAATATCACGTTTGCAGTAAGTCAATGAAATTAAACTCGTAAAACAATGGACAAGCACTGATTTTTCCCCTTTAACCTGAAAATTTATTTAGCTTTTCATTACTGCTTTTAAAATATAATATGCCTAATATGAACACTATCCAGAAGGCTCAAATGTAAAAAAAAAGCAATCACAGTATTTTCTTTCCCATATTACTCCATCCTTCTCAAAAGAGCAGTTGCTGGGGCACTGTACAATTAAAGGGACTGAGCCAAATAAGAACTTCACAAAACTCAGACATGATCTCATTTCAAAGCTTTCCTTCCACATCTCATTTTCCTCCCACCACATACATTATGCTCTTTAGACATCTGTCTTGGTCAATTCAACAGGCTAACCTGAATACTCAAGGATGGTCCAGGGCCTTCAGAACCTCAGACCTCAAGCACAGACCTCCTCTCTTCCACCTTTTAGGGAAAATATATTGGGGCATTTAAGAGTAGATATCAGCTCAGTTTTTGACAATACTAAGAATGGTGCTCTAGCTGCGACATAATGAATGTCAGAGCAAGGAGTCATCAAATGAGATAATCAAGTGATTCTAGCACGTGATGGTAATGCTTATGTGAATCAGCCCTAGTTATTCAATCTTTGAATTCTGAATTGTCTAGCTTACCCAAATCTCAAGACTCCAAAATGCAACCACACTGCTGAAAGAATGCCATCTAAAAAGGTTGTTAAAAGTATCATGAGCTTGATTATCTAAATAAATCAACCCCCCCCCCCCAAAAGTCCTTCCCGAAAGTCTTCAGGCACAGATGTTGGAGAATCTTCAGCTGAAGAAAGCTGAAAAATTATTATTCATAATACATCCTCATTATTTACACTTGGTACACAAACAGAATGGTCAAGAGAATACTTTCAAAAACCCTGATGGAACCCAGAGGAACATGTAATTTTTAGGGCTCAAAGGCCCAAGTCATTTAGCAATTTAGAGGTATAGGGTACTGATAGACTGTATTCCCAGCAAGGAACCCATATGAGAAGGCATGCTACCATTTTCTGTATCTCCTCTGAATATATATTCAGAGGCAGCCCATACTAGAAAACACAACAATATTCTAGCCTTGAGGTTACAAAGACATTAAAGGTATTTTTTAATTATGAACGGATCACAACAATCTTGCAAATTAGTAGGACAGAAGCCTGATCCCACCACTGTCATTTAGATATCCCAAGGGTGAGTCAAAGCTAAGAGCATCATCACAATGAGAAGGAACCCTATTCTTCCCCAAAGGTTTCCACCACCTTTGTCAGCACCATAGCCCTACCACAGCCTTGTCAGAACACAGCTTCAGCTGGATTCCTGATCACAACCAGGCACTCAACTAACAAGAGGCTGCGCAGCAGTACATCAAAGTAGGGCATAAACAGAATTTTAGTGGCACCAGTATAAAGGTCCCCATGGCAGCAATATATAATCACCCATCTTCAATCTCCTAAGACCTCCCTGCCATGAAAGCACGACTGGCCAACATCATATTTTCTTGTCAGGTATCACCATCATAGTGCTCACTTATTCCATATGGCTTCTATATAGCCTGAAGTACATGATCCTATCTAATCTTGAAAGCTAAGCATGATCTGGCCTGGTAAGAATTGGGATGGGTGACTTGACTGAATGATTCTATGATAATTGTTGCAAACTGTCCAGCTTCAGCTACAGGTGATACAGAAATGCAGTAGCAGTAGTGGTGGCAGGAATAATAACAACAGCTTCTTCAGTGCTATAACACAGAAGGTTGCAAAGGTAATAATCTGGTATTTATTGTTAATGACTATTGGGCAGTTGTGCTAGGGAAACGCCAATGGGAGACAGAAAAAAGACGTACAACTAGTTTTGTAGGACTCTTTGCGTTTAAGCATGTGTAGCATTGTGCCTCAAGTTCCAGTTGAAGCAGTTTATGTGTACATTTGAATTTTTCCAGAATCACACACAAGGACAGCAGAATGTAAGCAACAATAAAACAGTTCTTAATTTGTATCTTTGTCCCAATGATGTTTCCATCTTTAAATATTTTAGTGATTATGGCACAGAATAAGAACCAGAAATTAAAATTAACACAATTCTCATCTCTGATATTAATTTTGAAGACCCTCATTTCAACTCAATTTAAAGTAAATATGATACAGGATTTTTTCTGCTTCTAATTATCACTAAGGGACAGCTTTCTAGAATGTCTCTATTAGGAAGGAACTTGTGGTTAGATGTAAAATACCAATGGGTTCACAGACAGGGACAGGCCAAATTTTAACTAATGAAAGGTAGATTTCTTAGAATAGAGGCTAATATTTTGCAGAAACCTCTGTTTATTTGTTCTCCTTTCTACATGTGGATTGGTCCTGCTCAAATATGTTACTCACTGTAAGAGCTATTTCCTTAGAGGGCCTGTATGAAGCATTTTATGGATCTCTTTGTAAGTATCACAACATAAATGGTTGTGTCTGGAGTGCAGATCTGGATTAAATCTCTTGGCTGTATATCCTTTATATTTAATACAAAAGGCCTGTAGGACCACCTGACCTGGACGGCCCATTCAGCACAGACTTGTTAAGAAATTCTTACATAATGCTCAGATTGGAGTTTGTCAAGATTGTGCCTGCTGCCTAAAGAGACTGGGAACCGCGGGTCAAGAACATGAGACCTGTGTGCATAAATCAAAATGTCCTTTAACTAAGGATACTATTTCCTAAGAGAAGTTATTCTTATTGTTCCTGCAGAAGCTTTTGTTTTGGAAAAAATGTGAAAGCTCTCCTCAGGCCACGCACCAACCAGTGCTAGATTTAGGAAACAACAACATTAAACTAAACTATCCCCACAAAACCAGTATTTGAGCTAGTTAAGCAGCTGGGAACTCTTTCACACTTCTTACTCACAAAAAAGGCTAGTTAGAAAGTTGATCTCTTAAAAGTATTTTATACAAGTTCTGTGTACATTCTGTTAATGAAGATGCGAGAGCAAATCTGTGATCCCAGTTTGTTGTTGTTTAGTCACAAACTTGTGTCTCACTCTCTGCAACCCTATGGACAACATCCCTCCAGGTTCTCCTGTCCTCCACCATCCCCTGGAGTCCACCCAACCCCACACCCACCTCCACAGTGACCTCATCCAGCCACCTCAACCCTCTGCCATCCCCTTCTATTTTTGCCTTCAATCGTTCCCAGTATCAGGGCCTTCTCCTGTGAGTCCTTCCTTCTCATTAGGTGGCCAAAGTATTTGAACTTCAGCTTCAGTATTTGTCCCTCTAAAGAATAGTCAGGGTTGATTTCAGTTGCATCAGTGATCCCAGCTGCATTCGTCTTAATGACACCCTAGCCTGTGCCCACCCTCTACTGCCCTAGTAGCAGTGAATTGTTTATACATTTTCAATATGCATGCAAAATCATTTTACAGTGGCACTGAATCTTCCAAAGGTGTCTGGGGAAAAACTGCACTCCTGAACTTTGCAAATACTCTACAGTGACACTTTCTTTGCCATTAACACCTTTTCCAAACTTGGAATTCTGAGTTCAAGAGTGTAAATTCTTTCAAATTTACCTAAAATGTAATCTCAACTCCCAAAGTCAGAGTTCTGTTTCTTATCTTGAATCTGGGGATCTGAAGTGTCCTCTGGCCTTAGACAGTGTCTAGAAAACCAAATGACTGCTCTCTTACCTACTCTGGGAGAGGCTTACGAAATTATAGTACACTTTGCAAAGTGAAACCCACATAGTAACACGTCTTGCCTCACCTGAAAATGGCAAGTCACATTACTCTTACTACACATTACCAACACATGCTAGTGAAAAAGTATAGCCTATAATTTAATGTCTTACTTCTGAGTTTCTTGAGGAAATTGAAGCTGCTGACGATTGGATTAAAATACTCTTCATCCAACCCTGGCAAATTCTTATTTCCTTTTGCAAGCTTTCAGGGTTGGCATACCGGTCCAGTTCAGATGCAATACCAAACTGTGGTTTAGTTCTATGTGAAGAACCTTTGTGCTCACAGAGTCGGTCCTTCACCCTCCCACCTCCTCACACCTGCTCAGCCAGAGTTTGGATTTATATCCAAACTGGGCAAACTGCGGTTTCTATAAATCAGAACTGCAAACTACATTGAAAGTGTGGTTTGCAGTTCGGATTTGTGAGCATCTATGGTTTACCTAGTTTGGATATAACTGCAAACTCTGGCTTGCCACAAACCCAGAAGCAAGGGAAGGAGACAGACCACACACTTAAACACGAGGCTCATTTACACAATGCCAAACCATGGTTTGGTATTATATATGAACCAAACAAATTTAGATTGTTTCCCAACATTTAACCTGGCAAAACCTTAAGATTCTTCTTTGTCACTTCAGAACTAAACGAATTGTTCTTCTAGGCCATTCCAATTCTGAGGTTTAATTACCATTTGAGAAAACTCAAGAACATTTCTCAATAAAACTGTCAAAGGAAAATGCATGCTAAGACCTCAACCAACCAGAAATATGACCATAGCAAAACATTTCTGCTTAAACAGAAGAGTGCTGCTGCATTCCTAAAGGAGGTTTCAGCATTAACAAGTATCCTAAAAAAAACTTATACAGCTGAAGAATAGCCACCAACAATTTATGCCAATGTTCCCTTGCTATCCAGACACTGATGAAATTATGAGCCAATACTACATAGAAGATATAGTGGTAGTCTAAGTCTATTTATTCACTGTAAGTCATCCTGAGACATTCTGTAGGGGATGGAATAAAAAAGCTTCAAATAAATAAATAAAATAAGATGTGCAGGCAAAAACATAACTGTCTCCTGAAAAACAGTAACAGGTCAAAAGATTACAAGCCCTGAGAAATTTAATGCAGTAAAACCCATCTATCTAGTCTGCATGTTTCATTCAGACTAGATAGTAAGTCTAATAATGAAGTATATGATTATATAATGAAGTATATCAAAAGTGGAAGATGTGTGCTATCTGAAAGCTTCCATACCATCTATGGGCTATCTGTCAATTATATTAATTTCAAATAATGCAATTAAATTTAAATTATTGCATCTATTCCCAAAAATTCAGCACAGAAGCATTTTTAAGATACTGAAGGAAGTATATGATAACCTGTAAGCTGGCCTGAGGCTGCTGCAAAGGACAGCATATAAATGTTTTATTAAATTAAATTAAAATTAATAAATTAAATAACCTGCAATTTAATAAACAAGTGCTTCAATGGACCAAAAGTAAGGCCAACTTGAAAGCTGTCTATCACATTTTTGTTTTTTGTTAGATAACAGAAATAAAACTAATATCATCCTTTCAGTGTGGTGACCCAGGTGGTCCTCAGTATTTCATGTGTGATTGTACCAGAGTTCTGTAAAAAAGGCAGCCTGATAATGCCAGCTTTATTTTCAATTTCTGTTCCAATTTTGTCCAGTATGGAATATTCCTTTTCACAACTCCCATACATTGGTCCATCACCTATCTATACCACACCTGCAAGATCGCTCTTGGTCAGTGACCACTAACGCATACCTCATCAGTGTACACATGAAAATGGAGAGGGGGGTCTTTGTTCTGCATTAAGATTCTTATACTGAATTGTGCATATGATGGCAATGTTCACTCTGCCAGTTCAGAGATTTTTCTGGAATTCCGGCAATCTCAGAATAATTTGGTGTCATCAGCAAACCTGGCCACTGTTCATTCCAATTCCAGACTGGAGAAATTATAAGACTCACTCACCACTACTTTACATTCTGCATTTATTAAACAAATTTTAATTTTGGGCTTAAAGGAAACTGATAATCTGAAATCCACTTTCTTTCTTACCATGAAAAATATTAATTTTGATTTCAGATAAAATAGCTACTATGACCCATTTACTTACTGTTTTGATTCATGGTGACAAACCTCCAGTGTGGGATCATTATAAATAAAAGCTGCTTCCAGATCATTGACTCGCACTCTGTATATTCGACATTGTTTACTGTTCAGCTTGATTCTATTCAGGTTTGCAACTGTGGGAAATATTGTCAACTCCACATGACCCTACAGAGATTTAAAAAAAATCAGGAATGCACTGTTAAACTTGTTTAAAATATCCTTAATGAGCAGCATGTTTTGTACTGAAAATATTTATATGAGAAATGATTTGGTTTTTTTAATGAAATTAAATACAAGCCTCTAAAAAAGGTTAAACAAGACTAGCTTTTCCAAGGCCACTTCTCATGTAATGCTTTTTAACCAAGTTATTCTATGGTACTCTAGACCAGTGGTTTTCAACCTTTCCACAGCTGGGGACGAACAAAACCAGGAAAACCACCTTGGGAACCACTGAAGCAGAAACAAAAAGCACCATACACATAATACAGTATTTTGTGTATTAGTTTCCAAACACAATACCGAAGGGAAAGGAAGGGAAGGGGAGGGGAGGGGAGGGGAGGGGAGAGGAGGGGAGGTCTCTCAAACAACCAGAAACCAAGCAACAAAAAATGCCAGCAAAATAACAAAATTGGTGCAGTGTGGCTCTCAGGCAGCTCCCACCGAGCCGTCTCTCCTTGCTCTGGCCCTCCCAGTGGCACTGCCCCCACCTGAGTGAGACCAACCAAGGAAGAAGTGGTGGAGCACGGCTAGTCCCCATGCTGGTCTGCAGCGAGTGGGATGTGCCCCCCCCCCCACCACACACACAGACCAGCAAGACATCTCCTGTGGACGGGCACACCACTGCTCTAGGCTGCGTTGAAGACACAGAATAATCCAGCTCTACCCTTGGGGTTGAGGATCTGTATGAGAATCCCCCTCCCATCACAGCGAGCATGGAACGAACTATTGCTTTTGCTTTTCTGAAGTTGGAAAACTGACCTTATAGAAGGGGGTAAAGGGAGTGTTTGGGGAAGCAGAGAAAGGAGGAGATCAGGACTGCCATAATACAAGGTATCCTGATGGTGCTCTAGTTTCTTTTTCCCCTGGAAACATGTCAACTCTATAGTTGATAGGACTGAGCCCTGAAGTGCTCTCTCCTGTGTTAGGACTGAAAATGTAACTAACGAGTTGCAACATAAACTTTGCTTAACAAAAGGAAACCCAACATATATGAGAAATAATATACTGCTCCATGGGTCTCCTCGGAGGCAAATGTTCACTCTACTATTCTTTTTGCAAAATTTGCCAAATGGCTTTTGTTCACAAAAGCACAGTAATGCAGAGGCTCTCAACCCCTAGTGTACAACCTTAATTTAAGTAGGCTGTAGGAAGACTGTGGAACACAGCCAAGAATATCTGTAGTTGGCCCAGCACTTGATTTTTTTCTTTTTTGATAACAGAGATCAAGGTCATTTTGACCAGAACTTATACGGTGCAAAGTACCTGCACACATTTATTAAGTAATCCACTAAGGCCTTAAGTAACTTTCAAGTGGTCCACAAAACACAAAAGCTAAGAATCACAGATTCCACCCAAATATTTTTAAGGTGCTTTGTGCTGTAAAGACGACACCCACTTAAAGCGACCCTGTGAATGAAAGCCCTCCAAAATGTCCTATCCATGACATTCCTGCTTATCTGTTCTAAGCAGCCATAACTCAACCCAAAATACATATTGTAAGATCTTAAAGAGCTTCCCTTGGTTATCTGGTTCTTCCCTTTCTCTTTATCATTTTTATCCTCTCCTACTCTCCAAGGAGCTCATGACAGTGATTATACAAATATTCCATTTCTTCTCAAAAGTACCTTGTAAGGTAGGTGTCTTGCCCAAAGTCATGGGGGACGGGGGAAAGGGGACTGGGAACATCCTAGCTAGAGTACAATTTTAAAACAGATTCCCTGATCCAAGTCCAACACCTTCGATCAGATCACACCAAGTCCTGTTTTGCCATTGTCCCTGTTCCATTTATTTACTCCCATCTATTTGGGAGCTGCTGGTGCTGCCATTCCATGAATGTTTCCTTGCAAAATTGAAACTGCAGTTATTGGTGTAACTGTATGCATACACCACATCACAAGAAAGCACGGCTACTAAAGTAGTGACAGCAGATACAAGATGGTAAAAGCAGTTGGGACAGCAGATTAAAGCTGGCCTGGTCTACCTAACAGCTTAAGTAACTAGTTGTACTTAACACATTTGTAAACATGAGAATTGTTTACGGACCTTTTTAATATTGTTCTGGCAGAAAAACATGCTACAACAGTTGCTTATATTGATTCGTTTTAGATTGCAAACTTCATCTGTGTTACTGGAAAAGTTTCTCTGTCTCTCAATCCAAGTGTAAGCTCCTGCACAGGTAATGTCAAGTCATTCAAGCAAGCAACTGGGAAGGGTATTGCAATTCTACAGCAGCAACTCCTTCCCACCAACTCTTAAAAACCCACAAACAGAACTAGACAAGCTTTTTCATTCTAACTGAGCCAAAAGACAGATTGTTTGGTAGCACTAGTTCATCCAAAGCCTGGGAGTGTTCACATAAAAAGAGAGCATGTAAAATACATTAACAGTTCTTGAGAACACAAAAGCTTGTGAAAAATAAGCATATCACTGAAACCCACCACTCTCAATCAAAGGTGAAGAAGCACAACTGTTCATGCTCCACGGTATGAAGAAAATATCCAGCAATCTTCCTGGCCTTTGCAATTTTAGGACTGACTACTGCAGAATGCTCTATCAAGGCCACCCATAAACAGCGTTCATAACATAGCAACCTACAACCTGCCAGAGGTAGCGATATATAAAACCTGTGCTGAGCTAAACTCAGCTAGCTGCATGTTAGCTTCTGAATGCAAGTAAATAAACTAGCACTGGTACTTAAAACCATTTATAAATCACCTAGATTTTGAGAATAATGTGTGAGGGGGTTAATAAAAAAAGAAATGGAAGAAGCATTGCCTATCTCACAGAAAGCACCAGCCAAGCTGCTGAGGTCACCCAAGAAAATCCTTCTCCAAATATCAACTCATTTGCAATATTGCATACAATGGAAAGAAAGTCAGTGCGGTGTAGTGTTAGAATAATGGAGTGGGACTCAGATCTAGGTTCTAGTTTCTACTCAGCCATGTATATCACAGGATGACTTTGTGGCAGTCACTGACTCTAAACCTAAACTACTTCACAGGATTGTTGCAAGGATAAAATGAATGAAGACAATCACATAAGTTGCCTTAGGCTCCTTGGAAAAAAGGGGTGGAAGCTAATAACATCTGAAACAAGGTTTTATCCACTGTAGCCCTGGAACTGGGGAATTTCCAAATTTGCTTTTGGAAAATACTTAAGGCAATGAGATTTCGGCTACTAAGACTACAGTTATTTTATTTTTTTTCAGGACAAATTCTCACTTGACACAGCTGTAAATTTTAAATACACTTATCAGTAACCTACAGGATTACCACTCAATGGCTGCAAGTCAATTTGGTGGTAAAGAACTGATATGCCAGCCAACTGAAGAAAGATGTAAGTCTCCGGAGGGGGGGCTTTGTAAGTAGCACAGAAGACCAATGGGTATTTGGTTTATAAAGGAAAATAACTAGGGTCCAGTGAAATTCCCTATATGAAGAAAAACAGCACCGTTAACCAGTCATAGTAACAGACTACAAGACTTCTGCAACAGCCATTTACTAAGTCAGTTACATCAGAACATGGGAGGCTATTTATCCATCTTGGCAGGATAGCTTTCTCTAACGGGCAATTATTCTTTAGGGTCTTTTCCATCACCTGCTACCTGATAGATTTGACTGGAGATGCCATAAGTTGAGCCTGGGACCTTCTGCATGCAAAACATGTGTTCTTTCCCTGAACTATAAATGTACTTACAACAACAGATCTTCTCTGGAAATTTATGTTGTTGATACAGACCACCTGGTTGGTTGTGCTAAGAAGAAAAAGGAGGAAAAAATAAGTATCTTGACAAATATAAACTTGCAGAAAACTAGACAAGTTGCCAAAAGAAAGAGGAAAGTTGCTAGCCCACTTCCCTGCCTGAATTGGTGGGTCATATAATAGTTTTAGATGTGGATCTTGTAAGATACTTCCTTGGAAAGAATTATTCACCCTTTGCATGTGGATTATTAATGTTGGATAAACACTATTTTCACTACTGATTCTCAGATTTCTAGGAGACCACTCAGTAGGTAGCACCTGTATTACTTGTATGAATCTACAGCAAATTCAACATTGTGATAAATATCAATAAAGTTTCTTGGCACTGTAAGAAGATAGTGATCGGGCTTGTGCCCAACAATGATAGGTTCTCCTGCACTAGCAGAACAGAGTGGATGCACTGCCCACAGTACATTCACCTCTTCCACTTTTAATCTTCAACACACGATGTACTCCATGTTCAGTTAAATGTGCCATCCAAACTCAGACCACTGGTTCCTTTAGTGGCTAAAGTAGTGAGTGGTTAATCCAGCAACAAACCATTGAACTTGCACCATGTTCTCAATCTTATCTGGCTTATCCCTCTCCATAGGAAAACTAGATGTGGCAAACCCCAAATCCAAGTGGACTTCTACAATCTTCAAAACTGTTCCAATACCAAAGCAACACCATTAATACTGTTAGACTGACCAACTATTTAAACAAAGGCCATAGTCATTTATGTTAAAAAAAACTCACACCAATATTAGTCATCCACATGAAAATATTCATTGCTTTGTGGAATATCATGTTGCACATTAGGTACAAGACAACTCATTTTGCTGGACAGGAAACTAATTCAAATACATTTACATGTATCAGAAAGAAAAAAACATGCAATTTCCTAGATTTTTATGAAATTGACTTATACCATATAACTGCTTGTTAAACAATACTTTCATTGCTGTCCAGGCTTTGCAAACCATTTTTAACATCGAATTTCACCAAACATGTGCATTTTGAATACTGAAGCCCTATTTCAACACAGTTTTACGAATACCAAACTCTAGTTATAGGAAAAGAAATTATAAGAAATACTTATAATTTATAAGGTCTTGGGCTCTCAAATCCCTTGTCTCCTTTCTTCCGATTCATCATGAATAGCAATACTGAATCTTCATGAAAATCAAACACACTTTGTCACCATCATCCTTATATGGAATCTTTTCAGAAGTACTTTTAATTTTTCCTTTCTTGGCAAGTTCTTTCTCAATTAAATGTCTTTCACCAGTACATCTTAGAAAAGACCAAAGTAATGTCCAAAGAAACAGCATTACCCATTAAAATAGTGCAGACTCTTCAGTGTAAATATAATGGAATGAGGGAGATTTGTGTTTCCCTAAATCTGAGAGTTTTTAATACTGATCTCTTAAACTAGACTATTTACATATTATGCTCAGTGCCCGTGGTATCACTGACAGTTTATGAGGCAAGCGATCATACCAAGGAAGAATCTCTCCTATTTAACAATGACAGCTTTTAGAACTAGAGATTGCCACTTCACAGCCTTCCAAAGCAAACTAGTTGTATGTTCACTGTGGGTTTTTTGTTCTGCAATGCCAAAATTAAAACATAAATAAATGTCTCTGGGAACAGGCAGCAGCTTCTTGGGGTTCTTGTCTGGGCCAAGGATGTGCTAGTAGAATAAGGTCCGGTTATTGCTGAATCTTATATCTGAAGGATACCAGCAATAGCCTGTAAGCAATCCGCTTCGAACAAGTTAGCTAAAAGCATCTGAACCAAGTTGAGGAATATGATTGCAGCTGATCTTCCCAGAGTACTCCTAAGGCTATCTATTTAGGCTTACTACTGGAGCTTCTAGAACAAGGACTGGTTATTTCTGGTGTTCCTTTCTGTAAAAGGCATGCCAGCAATAACATCAATACACCTCTTGGCCTAATCTGCAGGTAAACATCTGGTTTAAGGGGAAAACATGGCTACTGCCAAGGCTTCTAAGAAGGTCTAATGGCTAGAGAAATACTGGCTAATTATCAAAGTCCTTCAAGCTTGGGAATACTTTTTAAATGGGGCTTATAGCCGGATTAGAGAATCCTGATTGCAGTAAGTTATGGCTGGAAAGGAGAACAGAATAAAACTGGAGATACTAAAGCTTAAATTGCAATCGGGGCTGGGAAGGCAGCTCCAGGGGTTCTCAATCGAAATATCATATACAGAAATGGGGATGGCAGCTTGTTCTCAGGCAGACCCTTGCAATTCTTCCAGTACAGGCAGACGACGCTTTAGCCTTGAGGTCCAGTAGGGAGCTGAGGCTATCCTATTATGAGGGACGCGAGGGCTTTCCAGGCTGGCAAATGCTCTGTGCAGCAGAGAAAACGGAAGGTCTCTGTCTAGGGCAGCAGCGGCGTTTATGCCAGGCTTGGCTGGGAGTACGTCTCCTCCCGGATGGGCAGGCGAAGAAAGCCTGCCCTGAGGCGGCGAGCTCCGAGCAGACGACGCGGCTCTTTACTCCTTGCGATCGGCTGAATGGGAACGGGCGCAAACCCCGCGCGCTCTCCTTAGGCCCCGTGCGCACACCCAATCAGCGGCTCGGCACCAGCGGGCGCGGGCGCCATTTTGCTTGGCACCTTCGACTTCCCGTCGGAGGTCAGAGGTCAACACCGCTTTGGATGATTGGAATACGGCGGTTCTCCCCTGCTCACCCTCCCCATTTTTGGATGTGTAGGTGCTTAAGAAGTCCTTTGAAGAAGTACGAATGACGCAGGGAGGGGGGGAAAGAACAAGAAGAAACTTAAAGAAGTGATATTCCTAGCGAGGCGCATGCGCACCTTAAACGGGAGTCGGCTCGCCGAAGTACGCACGCGCACTGTAAGAGTCAGCGTGCCCGCCAGCCGCATCATCTCTATGGTCGCCACTTTGCTTTGGGAACTCTCTCACGTCGCCGTGAGGACTTTGGACTGGCAGGGAACAATTCCACTCTCGCACGCAGGCGCATTGATTGCCAGCTGGATGCTAACTAAGAGCCGAGAAGCGATTGATAAAGACATCCCAATCCTAGTGCCCTCCAAAGGCGTTGGAGTGCAATTTCCAGTTATCTCCGTCATGTTGGCTGGGGGATGCTGGGAGTTGCACTCCAACAAGTTAGGCGATTCCCCCTCTTAATTACGAGGAAGGCTGTTGTAGAGACTTTTCAGTTAGGAACAATGCAAATAGGAGAACTCTGGTGGATCAAACCAAGAGTGGCATTCTGCACTCGCTGAGGCCAACCAGGTACCCAAAAGAGCCCCCCAGCAGGTGTTGCCTGCAAAGCATGCTCCCCAGCTGCAGGCACTGAGAGGCACAGGGGTCCAGCATTTCCCAGCATGGCTAGAAAGATGCCTCCAGGAAGCCTATGAATGCTGACGCTCCCTGTACAATATTTAATAACATGTTGCTGTGAATCTGGAAGTACCACAGAAACATAATTATGTTTATGTATTACTGCATTTCTTCACCACCCATCAACTCAGAGGATCCCTGGGAGGTTATTTATAGCCATTAATATACCTCTCCCCTCCTCCGCCCCACAATAATGCTATCCAACCTCTACTATGTATGATACTTTACAAAGAAACCTAAGGAAAAAAAAAACAGAATCTGGCCCCAAAAAGCTTAGTGTGAATTTCTACTGTGGGAAATACATGCAGAGGGTTGCACACTTAAGGGACTAGGCAGTGGGCCCCTAAAAGCCCATTTTCTGTCCCAGACTTATCCCCTTGAAACATTAGTGGATGACCCCTATTACCATAATAATTTATGCTTTCAACACACAAGAGTTTATTTTTCCTTCTAAAATTTTAGTGCACTTTTAAGAATTTTTTTTTCATTCACGACAGACAGTTGGAAGAACATGTTTCTTCTATTGTATTTCAAACTTTTCCAGGTAAGTCAGTTTTTCTACAAAATTGTATCAAGCATTCTGATTTAGGTTAATATTGCTCCATGCTTAATAAACAATCCTTGTGATTTTAACCAGTGACAAAAATTGTTGATAAATCTCAACAACCCCATCCCAAATTTAAGCCAAGAGTAGATAAGTATAAAATATCTATAGCACTTAGTGTTGCTTCCTACGAAATGGGCCTTCTGGAGTTATAAACTTTGAGTCCATTCTGCATTGAAGAACGAGCATATTTTGTCAGCAGTGTGCCAATTGTTTGCTTCTCTGAACACAAGTCCCTGAAAAATAGAATACATGTATCTTTATAAAATTCTGAAAGTCATTAATAAAACTGCTATTCGTATCCTCAAAATTCTTCAAGAGGAATTATGGATTCATCCACCCATCCATTTATTTATAACTTTTATATACTGTTCTATGGTAAAAACTTGGTGTCCAATCAGTCCAAAACATTTAAAACAAAGCATAATGTATCAAAGTACAAATACAATCAACAATTAAACAAGTAAGTAATAATACATAACACAATATAAAGCATAACAGTGCATTTTTCAGCCAAATAATGTCAGTGGAAACAATAAACAAAGGGTTGTAGGAAATGATGCAAAAAGAAATGAAGAAACTGAGTAAAAGCAAGATAATGAAGAGATTTGAAAACAAGAGATGGGAGGAACTAGACTGCAAAGTATGTGATTGGTTTGCAAAACGTATAAAGTAACATAAGGTACAATTCTGTGCATGTTTTGACTGGAAAAAAAGTCTACAAGCTCTACTCTCTACAAGCTCTACAAGCTCTATTTTAACAACTGAATGAATGAGATGTGAAGCAAAAAAAAAAAAAGTTAATTCTAAATTGTGCACTTAGACAAAAAGGATAGCTAAGAAGCCTATCTGTAGACTGTGAAATGGCTAGGGATTGACAAAATGTTAAAATCCTGAAAGTTTTGGCTAAGTGGGAGCACCTAACAAATGTTAAGGTGAGGTATCACATATATGAGAACTGGAGCTTTGGAGGATTCAGTTGCCCAAATGAGCATATATAGATAAAAAAGAAAGAAGAATGAGAGGATTGCGGGAGGCTAAAATAGCTTCAATGTCGGTTGAACAGACCCAAATGCAACATGCTTGTGTGAAGCAACAATCAAGCATCTCTGAGTTTCATTAAACTCCAGCCTAGTTAAGCCCCAAGCAGTGGGCTCGATCTGCTGCAGTGCATTTATTCTACTTACTGTATATATGGAGCTATTTCAGCTTCTGTCCATTTTTCCCTAATGCTGAACAAGCTGTTAAATCTTTCTTGGTTATCTTCTGGCAAGTCTTCCACATTTAACAAGAAAATAGTCTCTGGTCTAGAAGACTGATCCACAAGAGCCAGCCCCTTAAGTAGGTAAAATATAGAGGGGATAAAAACTCAGCGCATACGAAGTACATTCTTATCCTTCCTTCATCCAAGGGTGCTGCATATAGTCCCTCCCGTTACCCACTGCATCCTCACAACTTCCTTGTGAAGAATTTTAGACAGAGAGATCATGACTGCCCATGGTCACCCAGGGAGTTGGAGTGGAGAATGCAAATTCTAGCTGTCCTAGTCTACAGAGTCCTTCTGTTTGGTGAGCAACAATTCTGCATGCCATCTATGACAATTTACGAGTGAAAAATTAGTGAGTTTATATTACCTTTAGCTGGTCCTGACTAGTTGTCATTCCTTCAGGGACACTTTGCTGCCAAACCTCTTGGAATTCTGAGAGACTGAACTTAACTGCATTTTGCAAGAGCATTTGTGCAATAGCTCTGCATATCTTCTCTTCATTCATTTCAAAGTAAGTTGTGCCTAGTAAGGAATATTAAAAACATGAATTATAAAACAAATTAAACAAATCATTCAGAGTCTTTCAAAGAGGTACCAGCCATTTTAAAAGAATGATGTATGGACAGATTTGGTAAATAGTTGAGATATGGGGACTGCCCTAACGACATATAACAGCAGGAAATGAGGTGCCCGATGTTTATGGCTAAAGGGGAACACAGGTTAGAGATGTTAACCACTATTGCTCTTTCTGTACTCTACTCCCAAGCATTTGCTCCTCAAACGAGGTCTGGGTACAAGGAAAGCATGTGGGACAAAGCCAGGTTCGAACAAGGCGATTCAGTGATCTAAGCAGTGGATGCACTGGCAAATCTTTTAGGTGTGTATTTTACATTTGCCTAATAGCAACTATATTTCACAGCATCCATCAAAACAAACGGATCTAACTATATGAGATCTGGTTTGGGGGACTGATATGCATCTTTCTGCTATTCATATGTGGCCAGTTCCTCTCCCTTCATTTTTGTCTACCATTATACTCTATACAATTACATATCACCTACTTATTTGAGTTTGTTATTATTAATGTAAAACATACACTCACAGAGGTGACTTACCTTCATCTATGTATTTCTGTCCATAACTCATAAGAATGTGTTCTATCATTTCCCTGAAATAAACATTTGTCTACAATTAATATACTCAATTGAATTGTCACAGGCTACAGAATAAGGCCACTTCTGTTGATCCTCACGATTCATTGATTTAGGCAAAACAATGACCCTCTAATGACAAATTTTTAAGTGAAGGTATTATGCTTTTGGCCACACCAAGTTTTACATGAAGGCCAGGGCTGGAGAGGGAAGGATAAAACCTGTCTCACAATAAAAGTTGGGGCCACGCACCCACTTTTTAATGGACCAGGTTTCTGATGATGCACTTAGCATTGCTTCTAATTTGGGCCTGAGCTGGTTTTGAGAGTACTGATGTTTTATATAGCATGTGATAATGAATAGAATGAGAGTACTTTCACATGATAGAGAAACCAAGAATTCTAGAATGAAATGTGACTGTACAGTTTTATGCAGGTATTAGAAAAGGACTTACTTTGGTTCTAGAGGACCAAGCTCTTGAAGGCAGATGCTTAAAGGAACCTTGTTGAATGGCCAGGATTCAGTATATATTAGCTGAGTTACATGATTCAACAATTTCATCTCATAATCGAAGTCCAGAATCCTCCAATAGCCTGAAAAGCAGAGAAGCAAGGTGTAAAGAATCAGTATTCAGCTGAATCAACAGTTTACTTTGGTGAAGGTATTTTGAAGGTAGGCTTAGAAAAAAGAAAACATTACCCCAGACTCTTTTGATATTCTAAGCAAAGAATATTCTATTGATATTCTATTGCTATGAGAGAAGCTGTAGAGCAGGGCATGCACTGCAAAGATCATTTGCATTACTGATTAGAGAAGGTTTCTCTCTACCTGTGCACATAAATGAGGTTCAAGATTACAATTGATTTACTGTGTCTGACAGAATTCAATAAGAGTTATTGAGAAATCAACTCAGCTTTATATACACAGCGCTCAATGGGGTTCTATTTCCTGGTCACAGAACTGTGTAGCAAAGGGGCATAGCTCATTTGTAAAACACGTTCTAGGTTCAATCCCCAGCATCTCCAGGTGAGGTTAGGAGATCTTGCCTGGAACCTGAAAAGCTGCTTCCAGTCAATTTTGATACTACTGGGCAAGACAAACCAGTGTTCCAAGATACAGCAGCTTCCTATGTTGCAAAGAACAAGACCTGGCTTTTAATAAAAATAATGCTCCAAGATTAGAAGTATAAATTAGCACAGGAATAAGGAAATGCCATGTTGCTTTACTATATATGCAACATTTAGCAATTGCCATTACTGCTGTGGATAGTGAAAATGAGATATGGTACAAGAGGCCATGCAAGGCTGTACTTAACTGTCAAAATGTCTGGAAATTTCTAAGACTCCATGCAAGCCATTGTAGTTCACGTCCAATTCTGTGTAGCTTTTTAACACAACAGAGCAGTAATTAAGCAAGGCAATTTACGCCTGAGCATCTAAAGCTTGGCAACTGTTACTTTTAACTAATAAAGAATTCCAAGATAACCTACAAATAAACTATAACCTACAGGCTCCCCCCTGTAGAGACAAATACCTTTAATTTGGCATGCTTTTAGAATCAGCAGCTGATGCATTATTTCTTCTTCGCTTGCTTGGACCTGTTCTAGCAAGTCTTCTGTTGTATACTAAAGACAACAAAACAGAGCATGTAAGAACCTTCTTGCTACACTTCATAATCACAGAACTACAGACACTTCTTTCTGTTTAACTGTGCATATGATTATGCCCAAACCATTTTGTGTTATGCTAAGCATAAGTTGCTGAGACCTAGCATGGCCTAAGGCAGATGTGGGGAACCACAGGGTTTCTCCCGTTGGCCTGCTAGCCCTTCTTCCCAGGCCTCACCCCTTCCTCTTGCTCTTCATGCCAAAAGTTGAGAGTGAAGGGGAGAGCACAAAACTGGCCACAAAGTCACACTACTGTGCTCCTGCCTGACTGAAAAACCACTCTCATTCCCTGGTGGCAGTTTGCTGTCTTTGTGTAGTGGACACTAAGAAAGGGAAGCCCAGTGAGGAAAGGTGACCCTGAGGAATGGGTATGTGCAAATGGGGAGAGTGTGTAGATGAGCCAGTATGATTCCCACTTACTACTGGTACACACAGAACCACCTGTCTGTCATGCTGAAAATAGTTGCTCACCTATGGGAGAACAGACAGCCGTGCTTAGGGGCACCTGGCACAAAGCTGCTCCCCCACCCCCTGCAGTGAGCTGCTCCGGTGGCCTCAGGCAAGCCTTTCTCTCCCTCTCCCTCAGCCTGCTCCTGCTGCCTGCCATCTGCTATATGGGAAGAACAGCACAGACTTGGCATACTAGATCAGGGAAAGGCAGCCTAGCATCAGTGAACGCTTTTCTAGTTGCAGTTGTTATCCTGCGATCATTCAGGTGCTTCATTTCTATTTGCAGATAAAACCCATCTACAGTATACTTTTTTTAAAATGCTGTTCAATCTTTTTCTAGCTGAAAGGATGTTTTCCACCCAGCTGTCTCTTATTTGTACCTTAGATTTAGTTGAAGTCCTCTCTTGCTCACTGTCTGGTCCTTCATATGGATTTTCCATTAGAAGTTTCTTGAGTTTCTTTAATTTAGGCTGACATCTTCTTAGTTCCCAGAAAGTTTTGGAGAAACCTGCAATCTACAGCCAAGAACCCTCATTGGAATTTGCCATGATTAACTTGTAGACTTGGTATTAACAGACTGAACTCCACACAGCAACAGCAGACCTTGTGATAAAAGAGGAGAATGTTGCTCTGCTTGGCATGCTAGATGCTCCTTCAGTTCTTTGTGCATTTCTGTTCCATCCCTTTGGCATTCTTTTAAAGTAGGGACAGATAACCTACAACTACCATAATCCCTGGCGATTTGCTTTGGTGCCTAGGGCTGATAGAAGTTGGAGTGCAACACTGGAGGCCCACAGGATCCCTACCTCCTCCTCAAGCATTTTAACCATAGCCTTCCCAACATCCAGCTGCATGCTTCTCTTAAATGCCTGAGGCTCATTGCTGTCTATGAAGGGAGAAGACAAAATAAAGAGCCAAGAGATCTTAATCATAAAGGCCTGCTTTCATCTGGCTATTTGGGTGGTGACCACAGCCAGGCCTATGGAGAAACAGAGACAGAATAGTTCCTGTACATGTATCATGGCCATACCACTTAAGTGCTAGCTTTCATGCAGTATACATTCAAATTCCTGTTTGGCCATCAAACTCTTTAAGGCACAGCCATATCCATTGGGCCTTCCTCCATGATGGACGCCCTGAACTTGGGGGTTTCTGATCGTGCATTAAAGAGGGGAAGGAGGCTGGAAGGAGCTCCTGATGCTCATATCCTGGCCTTGTTTGTCTCCTCTTCTCCTCCCACTGACCCAAGAAGCCCCTTTTCAAGGCCACTTTTCCAGCCTGGGAGAGCAGCAGGCACAGTATTTTCTGCACCAGAGACAAAAGGGGGTGACTCTCTGACCCTCCCCGCTAGCTTTGGAAGGGAGATCCCCGTATCCTGCGGCCCTTTGGTCAATGCCTGTGGTCCCAGGATTGCTCACTTAGAAAATCTTGCATCCAGTCTTCTCAATGTGTTAACCTAATTCACCAGTTGTTCTACAGACAATGTGGGAGTACCCTACATTCATCCTGAACACATACTGAAAGAAAAGGAAAAATGCAAATAGAATAAATAAAAAAAAGCAATTAAGGGATGGCAGGAACAACCCTGACTTGAAAGATAGTTAACTTGCTGCAGCTGGCTCCAGGAAACCATCTCACACACACACTAAATACCTGAGTATGCAGGATGTTGGAAGTAGAATCGCATGCACTAAGCTGTTCTGTGGTTTTACAAGTGGGTATGATAAGCAAGGTATTGGAGGTATCTGCTATTTTCATGTCATAGGTCTTATCTTTACTGCAGAGGACAGCATGTTCTTCTCTGTCTCCACGGATCACCAAACTTCAAAAAAACAAAACAAAACAACCAAAAAACAAAAAACAAAAACCAATTATGCATAGTCAGTTCAGGAATCATTTTAGAAGAGCATTTCCCTGCAAAGAACATGCAAAAATTATTGAAAAGCTGCTAGGTTCCAACTGTTCCAATGTTACATATAAGTACTATTACATCAAAAAGTTGTGGACTTGATTGGCTCAGGTTATAAACCATCAAGCAAGCAGATTTCATTCTTCTATATACTGAAAGCTCTTAGGCATTTATGCATTGAGCTGGAAATCTTGTTTTCCATCACAGCCCAGAGGTCCCCAAGGCATCCCATCCCATTTCTCCAAGATTTCCTTGTCTCATTGCTTTTGGTGTCTTGATAGCACCTTTCTGCTTATGCCAAAGAAAACACGTGAGATGTCAAATCTGTCCTGGTAGGTGCTTATGCCAGTGCAAACTGGGGGGGGGGGGGACAAGAACGATAACTGAGAAACCTCTTTTAGGTGGCATCCTTTTTGGCGTAGGACTACATTCAAACCAGCCCTGTGTGCGCTAGAAAGCGGTTCAAGGGAGGGGAGGGGAGGGGAGGGGGCTCCCATGACAAGCTACTTAGAGGTAAGTGCAATGGTATCACAGCCACGAAGGCATAGGATGGACAACTCCACCTCTTCAGCAACTTGAGAGCAGGACTGTAGCCTCCTGCTGAAAGTGAATGTGGTGTAGCGGTTAAGAGTGCAGGAATGGGGCTCAGGCAATCTGGGTTCTAGGTAGTCCTTGCTCAGCCATGAAGCCAACTGAGTGACTGGGCCAGTCATGGACTCAGTCCAACCTACCTCACAGGGTTGATGATGCAGAGATAAGACTGAGAGCAGCAGGAGGAGGAGGATGTAAGCTGCTTTAAGGTCTTTGTAAGAAAGAATGTGGGATATAATTCTAATAAATAAAGTCAGCCTAGCCAAAATATGCATGAGTGCAATTGCTAAGATCCCATCTTTCCATGCTCCCTGGGTATCTTCATCTATGTCAGTCTCTTCCACCCTCTGGAGGCCTTTGTAGCAAAAAGCAGCACAGAAATCCACTCTTAACTTATTCTGCTTTCTTCCCCATCCCTGCTGAAACTGAGAATATAAGTCCCTTGCAGGAAAGCACCAGTGTCATTTAACTTGCAAGGGTGCAATCCTATGCATGTTTAGCCAAGAGACAGCCAAGAGTTGTAGGATTTTTTTCCTGTCTACACATGCATAAAATTGCTGCCCTAATGAACGCTTATGCTGATCAGCTGTATAAGTAGCAACTATTATATTACTACAATTATTGCTGCATTGCATTTATACCCCACCATTTTTTTTTTGTTCTTCTTGTGGAGGAATTACAGAGCTCCATTTTATCCTTACAAGAACAACCCTGTGCAGTTGGCTGGGCTGAGAGTCTGTGCCTAGCCCAAAGTCACCCAGTTGGCTCCCTGGCTGAGCGGGGACTAGAACACGGATCTCCTGGATCCCCAGCCCAGCACCCTAAACCACTGTCCCACACTGGCTCAACCCAGGCGTTGTTGCCCTACAATCCCTAACCAGTGACCATGCTGGGGATGATGGGAGTCTCAATTTACCAACATCTGGAGGGTCAAGGTTCAGAAAAGCGTAAAGGCCACTTTTAAAATGAAAAGTCAGCATCACAACGATCTGGAAACTCCGCAACAAAATTCACCCCGCGTTTGCCCTGTTTGAATAGGCGTACTGCTACTTCCCCGCCGCATCGCCAGAGGTCGCTGTAAAGCCCGAAGCCCAACCGGGAAGCACTGGGCTCTGATCTTCCCCGCCCAGACAAGACGAAAGAGGGCGGTGCCATATGCGCGCGTGCGCACTCTTACCTGTGCCCCGCCTCCAACTCGGCGCAAAGCTCTGGTTCCAGCTGTAGCAGGTAGTGGTCCGCCGCATCTTCCTGGGCGCAGAAGCTGAGGCACTGCACGACGGGAAGCAACTCCGCCGGGTTCACTTTAGCCACTTGCAGCGTGGCGTCCACTTCCTCGCGACTCCGCATTTTAGAGACCCGGGATGAATAGCGGCCTTGTTTCCTATAGAAACAGCAAAGCGCGCAGACGTGGGGCGGTCAGTTCCTAAAACGCGCCAAAAGTTCTGCCTCACGTGACCCTGGTCGGCGGGGCCTGGCGCTTTGGCTGACCAATTAGAGGGGAGAGGAGGCGGGGTTGGAGCGGCAAGTTTTTGCTGCGGCGCGCGCGGAGATGATTCGCGTGCGGTGTGCCTCGGGGGTTGATTTTGTGGTCCGCGTACCAGGCCGGTGCAGCAAAACCACACGTGGGAGGGAGATTTAAAAGGAGCTTTCTCTCCTTTTTAAAATTCTTTATCTTACCCTTCCGAGAGGGATCCAGAAGGCTGTTGAGAAAGTGCATTTGTTTTAGTTTATTGCTCCTAATTATTGCTATAGTCACAGGTTCTTAACTTTCATATATGCACCGCAGAAGTCAAAAGTCTGCAAGAACTTTTCTTCCCTTTTAAAGCAAAAGTAAAGACCCTTGGGCCCAGATTCAGTTCATATTGGTGCTAAAGTTAGTTACAGTGAACTCCTTCGGGCTTACACATTATGCAGGAGTGCTGGCTGACTGGATAGTCCAGGGCTTCTCCCGTACTTTTTAACGGGGGGGGGGGGGGGTTTAACAGCGAATTTACGAAGCCTAGCTGGAAAGTTAGCAACTAGCGGCGCAACTCTGCATGTCATGAACGCTTTGCAGCCCAGCCTGGGGAATTTCTCCACAGTAAGACCTAGTAAACACAATGAGATCTACTTCCAAGTAAGAATGGATAGAATGAGAATATTAGTGCCAGGAATTCTGTGCAGCAGTATCACAAGTACACTAGTTTTAAAAATACGGTGTGTTTTTAACCTCCTGGTATTTACCTCTTTTTCTGTCATTATGCAATGCTGCCACCAGGAATTTAATTTCAATCCCATTAATTAAGCTTTCCCTCAATACTGTGCCTAAGCTGTAAGGCTCCTTCATTGGACTGTGTGATCCTGAGAATGAGACACTGGTACACAAACAGCCTCTGACTCTGTGTTAAAAATAAATAAAATAAAACTTTATTTGGACAAGAAGCGTACTGGTTTCAAGATGTTCAGTAACTTCTTTTTTTAATGACTAAAACAATGCATAACAACAACTGTTAGTATCTGTTTCTCTCTCCTCATACACCCAAGCTCTGCCCACACATCTCAGTCACCTCCATCACTCACGCCCTTCTGAAAGTTACCAACTTGGTTTTAATATATTTACAGTCACATTTTGCTTTTTGTTTGTTACTATATGCTATTATTATTATTGTAAGCCGTCCTCGTATGATTCCATGTAGGACGGGGTAAAATTATTTTAAATAAATAAATGTAACACTTTAAACCAGGACAAGCAGACATATGGCATGCATTGTATGCACAGGTGCTGTCTTACAGAAAGCCTGTATCTCGTGGCAGCCCTCCACAGGCTGCTTGGGCTATAGCTGTCATCCTTATGCTGACTGGGGGTTGTAGTCCAACACGTGCAGCAAAAGCCTGGTGGAGGAAGGCTGTGTGGTGGTGTTTAAAGATGTCCTTATTATTTATTGTACTTGTAGCCCAGCTTTTTTTCCTTTCAAGGAATGCAATACATCATTCTCCTACTCTCCATCTTATCCTCACAACAACCCTGTGAGGTGGGCTTCACTGAGTCGCTGGCTGGCCCAGACTCATCCAGTGTGCTGCATGACTGAGTGGGAACTAGATCCCAGATCTCTGGCTTCCCAGCCCAGCATCCTTAACACGAGCTGTCAAATGGGTCATCAGACTTCAAATACAAGAGCATATTTTTTTATGGCTGGAGTCATGGGCAAGATCAAGAAATGGAAAGGCTTGTTGACTGCAAGTTAAGAATAGGACTCTGGCAATCCCTGTCACATCTGGTGACTTCTAAGAGCTGTGTGGCAGGTAGAAATTTGAGAAGAGAGCCTTTCATGCTGGAAGAAAATTCCCATGTTGAATTTCAGCCTGGCCTGTGCTAAAAGCACAGGAGCCCTGCCAGAGGGGGAGAAAAACGATAAGCTTAATGGGGAGTTAAACCATATTCCGATGCATTCCATCACCGAGTACAGCAATAGCAAAAGACAGCCCAGACCACTGAGAAAAAGTAGAAACTGCCTTTTCTCCTGCATTGGACAGATCTTTTCATTCCCCAAGAAAGTGGAGGCTCCCTGACCAAGCTTTGATGGATCTTGAACCATATTTGGAGCCCCCCTTATTGCCACGAGCCATCTGAAAGGATGAGAAATCAGGGCTGCGAGTTGCTCTGGTGCAAGGAACGACTCTGGATTTCATGGCAGGCACAGCCTGTCCATCATGCTTCCTGTGTGAGGATTAAGCTGTAACATGGAAATAGGTCTGGTGTCGTCAGCCGCAAGACCATTCATGCCCAGTCTGGCACTCCATGCCACCACCAAAACATTCATGCCGGCCCAAGGGCTCCCGCCCCACACGTGAAACTCAGACAACACTAAAGCAAGTCACCCTTATTTGACAGCAGCGTTGCCTGATAATTCCTCTTTAAACTTATTTGAAGCTGGGAAAACATCCCTCTGGAGGGGCACAGTCTATAAAGGGAAGCAGGAAATATTAGTGGAGTATGCATAATTCTAGGCATAAGTGCTGGCTCTGTTAGTTTGGTCAGTTATCCTAATTACAGAAAGAGTTTTGAATTTTTAATGCAATAACCCTACATTCCCACATGGGGACAGACCGGTGCAACGCATCCAAAAGGAGATACTGAACGTTGCAAGTGTTAAATGTGCGGTATACTGAAACAGGGCAGTGGGCAGTCGTGTGACTAGAAATTTCCACCTTCAGGTTAGTTCAACAGCTACCGCTTCTTCACTGCACACTTCTTTTCTCTGTCGGAGAGAACTCTGCTTCTCACAAAAAACCTCGGTGCATTTGACCAGCTGATGCATGCTTGATACTACAGCATGTTATTCAGTGATGGGACCGAATTTTGGCTTGTGGCTTTTGTCACATTATTGTGTCACTCGACTAGTTCAACTTCTGCAAAGCTGACATTTTAGCACTGAGATACCTGTCTTAAAAGGATGTGGGAAAGATTTGTGACACAAGTTGCTTGCAGTGTGCATGTTCTGAGTACTAAGTATCCTGACCATTGCTTGGGCTTGGCAAGAGCCTTTGGCATGGAGGCTCCGTTTCTGCCTGCTTTGCACCTTGAGCAGAATGTGATACAAGTGGCAGGAAAGACTCTGTAGGGGGTTTGCCCTCTGGCATGGCTGTAAACATAGATCCTTTAGCCAGGGAAAAATTTCTGGATTCAGTTAGCTATCCCCAAAAGGAACTGTTCCAATTCTATACAAACAAAATTATACAGAATTTCTCAGTCTGTCGTTTATTTTGCTAAGGGATCAGGTGGAAACATGGTATTCATATAACCATGTAAATAAGTCCAGAAGGTTGCTAGACTGCAACACCACCAACAATTACTGGCATGTTCATCGGTTAGTAACCTGCATTTGCATGCTGGTCTGGCTGGGGAAGCGCTATCCTAAATGGCTAGCCTGAGAAAGTAGCATCTTAGCAGGCTAGTTGAAACGGAGAGGAGAGGAGAGGAAAGGATGCACCTTCAACCAGACAGACCAGCAGAGATAGAAACAGGGCAATGCAGCCTTCCTTCACCTGCCCACTGCATTCTTGCAATGGTCATGGAAGGAAAAAAAGTTCATTTTACTCTGCCTTGCATGGGTTTGGTGCTGTCGGCAAAAGAAGGATAGAGCAATCCCTGTTCTTCCAGCCCTTCTCTCACTTACATGGAATTCTAAACATTTCCCCACGTGCATTTCTGGGTTGCCTGTAACTACTAGGCTAGCGCAGAGATACAAAGCTGATTCATATCTTTCATGGTATTAAAAGTTTGGAACAATTTGAGTTTGTCTCTTTTCTTGACCTTTCATCAGCCTCTTAATTTATCAGGCAGTGCTCTTTAGAGCAAAACCCAAGAATCACACTGCTTTTCTTCCTCTTGCAAGGAACACAAAGTGGCTTACATAGTTCTCCTCCTCTCCATGTTATTCTCACAGCAATCATCTTGTGAAGTAGGTTAGTCTGCAGACTGATGACTGTTTCCCCAGGGAGCTTTCATCACAGAGTGGATTTCCCAAGAACCTGGATTTCCCAAGTCCTAGTGTGACACTCTAACCACTACACTATACTGTCTCTCAGGCTAAGTAATACAAGTGTCATTAATGGAGGAATTATACTACAAGTGGCTGGAATTCTGGTGAAAGGAAGCATTGAAGAAGAAAGGAAGTACTGCTCTGACTTATTGTGGGCTAGTCACATGTCTAGTTCAACCTGGCTGAAAGGCAGGAAGCATTTCATTCTTTTAATCACAGGATGCAGCTGACTGTGTTTTAAAAAATGGCTGGCTGCTGAACAACACTTAATGTTAAAACATGTCTTGGAGGTGGAAGGAACAAAGTGAGCGCATTTGGTGTGGTGCCATTGACACCAATGAGACGGCAGTTTGACTGTCTCACTGAGAACATTGAACTATCAGGAATCTGCGTTTCCAAATGCTTGCTGTGTCACAAAAGCAAGGGTTTAATTCTTGCGGTTGAGCCACTGATGCGCTACATGGGCAAAAGCATCACGTTGGTTTTGAGACATTTTTGTAGACAAATAATGCTAAATCCTCAGGAGCCAAATATAAAGATGCAGTTTACTAAAGGAAAGACCGCAGTGCAGTGGTCCATAGGAGCAACAAGCATAAGAACTTGGATGAATGACCATGACCGACCTATCCAATAAATGGATATTAAGGCTAGGGAAAACCCCTGCCTAGACCCCACACTTACTCAAAAGGAGACAAAAATGGGTTTGGTTAATCAACAGTTTGCACAAAACCAGATTATTCAGACTGCTTAAAAGCAAAAGTAATAGTAAAGAGTTTCAAACTTCCTTCTCCAAACTGGGCTTCAACACGGTGTTTGCATAATATGAGTAAATGCAAACTGTTGCACTCTGGGGCAATTCTACCCTGCAACTTCACACCCATGCTAATGGGA